TTCCACTGTACCAGACAGAGAATCTACATGAGGGATGAGGTCTTGATGTAAGAAACAGTTTAGTATATTTGGTGTATGAAACAACTACTACACTGCCATTATTTCTCCACCAGATAAGAGGATTTGTTTTCACACCTTCATTTTTCCTGTTTTTAATCTCTCTTGCTGTGTGATCTTTTTTTGTCTTTTCCTCTTTAAGCTTATTTCAAGGTCGCTTGCTCCTACCTGCAGAAGCACATTTAATTTTTCACAGGAGATACCAGAACTTTTTCTTATTACACCTTGTAGAAGTTATTTTGTCTCATCATTTTATTCAACATATGCTCTGTTGCATCAGGCTCAAGCCTATTGGGATACCAAACTATTAAGACACCAAGATTGCTGGCAGGATGGCCCTCACTTTTCTTATTAGCAATTAAGCTGATGAACATAAGTTTCTGAGGGAAACCATCATCTTCAGAACCATCAGATTGGCTAAGGAAAGATTCATATGGGAAGTGTGACTGGCATTCTGTTTCAAAAATTTTCTTCCATTCATTTGATATTCAGTAGGAACTCCCATATGGTTTCCCATTTCTTCCCCCAAGGTTTTATGGAAACAGGAACTTCATGAGTGTCTTTGACATCCACTAAAATTAATATAAAAACTATATTTGAGAGAGAGAGAGAGAGAGAGAGAGAGAGATCCTTTACAGCTTTATGCTATAAGCTACTGTACCAAGACGTTAAGACTCTAACACCAGAACAAAGGAATAAGTGAGTTTTAGCACCTGCTTTAGAAATTAATCAGCACAAAAAGACCAGCTTCCCTGTGGCATTACCAGCTGTTTCCAGGACTTTGGAGTTCACTGTTTCATGGAACGAGTACTGCAATCAGAGGAGAGATGCTCCTGAATCTGTGGGTTTGCTGCACACAGAACCACGTCATGCCGGATTAGATGTACTAAGATTTATAATACATCTGTTCAGGTTCAGCTCTAAATACTTTGCTGCTGAGGCAATACAGCAATTTCTCAATCTCCTCAAAAGTTGGGGTGTCTATTACCTTAGGCCAATCAAGTTCTTTGGCATTTGAAGCAAAAAATTGGACAAACATCATTTCTTTTTCTTGGCAGTAAAGTTACAACCACATCAAATCATTCTATAATCTGTGATACAGTACTGTGGTGGAGGGAGAAAAAGACTAGCATGAAAAAAATGGGTCAGGGAAGAAAAATGGAATTGGACTAATTTGTTTTTTACTCAAGATACAAGCTGAATGAGATAGAGCAGTGATTCTCAACCTTGGGTCCCCAAATGTTCTTCACCTAAAACTCTCAGAAATCCTGACTAGCATAGCTAGTGGTTAAGGCTTCTGGGAGTTTTAGTCCAAGAACATCTAGGGACCCAAGGTTGGGAAGCACTAATAGAGGATGAAAGAGGAAGAGAAAGGGGGATTGACAGATGACAAGGGCATGGCTCATTGTGGATCAAATGTATTGCCTTGCACAAGCTAAATGACTACTACAGTGGACAGAGAAAAACAGTGGGATGGAAAACAGGAGGGAAGAGAAGGGGTCCTGGATGACAGTGGAACTCATGGGTTTTTAATCCGGGTAAAGCAGAGTATAAATTTTGTAGGTGCTGCTTGTCTTCCAAAGAATTCAAGATGGTATCCATGTGCTTGCCAAGCAGTCTTCTACCTAGGCATCAGCTAGTCTCAGATCTGCTTAATTTTAGAAAGGTTTGCAGTATTATATAACTCTACATATTCTCTGGAATAAAGCTTGTATCTATTAAAGAAACTAATCTTTTGTTGAGTAAAACTGCAGTTCATGATTTATGAACCCTGATGATATTACTATCTGCTGGCCTTTTTCGTTATTTGATGAAAATGCCTTTCAAAATATCTGGCAAAGCAATCACACCATATGATGTTGTTGTTTAGTTGTTAAGTTGTTTTCAACTCTTCGTGATCCCATGGACCAGAGCACACCAGGCCCTCCTGTCTTCCACTGCCTCCTGGAGTTTGGTCAAATTCATGTTGGTAGCTTTGTTGACACTGTCCAGCCATCTCATCCTCTGTTGTCCCCGTCTCCTCTTTCCTTCACACTTTCCCAACATCAGGGTCTTTTCCAGGGAGCTTTCTCTTCTCATGAGATGGCAAAAGTATTGGAGCCTCAGCTTCAGGATCTCTCCTTCCAGTGAGCAGTCAGAGTTGATTTCCTTTGGAATTGACAGGTTTGTTCTCTGTGCAGTCTACAGGACTCTCAAGAGTCTCTTCCATCACCACAATTCAAAAGCATCCATTTTTTTTCCGGTCAGCCTTCTTTAAGATCCAGCTCTCACTTCCATACATCGCTACTGGAAAAACCATAGCTTTGACTATGCGGATTTTTGTCGGCAAGGTGATGTCTCTGTTTTTTAAGATGCTGTCTAGGTTTGTCATCGCTTTCCTCACCAAAAGCAGGCATCTTTTAATTTTGTGGCTGCTGTCACCATCTGCAGCGATCATGCAGCCCAAGAAGGTAAAATCTGTCCCTGCCTCTATATCTTCCCCTTCTATTTGCCAAGAGGTGATGCAACAAGTGGCCATGATCTAAGTTGTTTTGGATGTTGAGCTTCAGACCATTTTTGCACTCTCCTCTTTCACCCTCATTAAGAGGTTCTTTAATTCCTCCTCACTTTCTGCCATCAGAGTGGTATCATCTGCATATCTGAGGTTGTTGACATTTCTTCTGGCAATCTTGATTCCAGTTTAGGATTCCTCCAATCCAGCCTTTTGCATGATGTATTCTGCATACAGTGGTGCCTTGCATTACGACATTAATTCGTTCCAACGAAATCACTGTAGAATGAAAATGTCGTAATGTGAAAATAAAAAGCCCATTGATGCACATTGAAACCCCTTCAATGTGTTCCAATGGGCTGGAAACTCACCGTCCAGCGAAGATCCTCCATAGGGCGGCCATTTTCGGTGGCTGTCTTGTGAGGGATCCGTCCCAGAAAACAGCGGGAAGCCATTTTATTTACCTGGTGGCTATTTTGAAACCGCCACTCAACTGTCCGAAAATCATCGTTTTGCGAAGAATGGTTCCCAAAGCGGGAAGATTGTCGTAATGCGGTTTTGTCATAATGCAGGGCAATCGTAAAGCGAGACACCACTGTATAAGTCAAATAAGCAAGGGGACAATATACAGCCTTGTCGTACTCCTTTCCCAATATTGAACCAATCAGTTGTTCCATATTCAGTTTTAACTGTTGCTTCCTGTCCTACATATACATTTCTCAGGAGATAGATAAGGTGGCCAGGCACTCCCATATCTTTAAGGACTTTCCATAGTTTGTTGTGGTTCACACAGTCAAAGGCTTTTGCATAGTCAATGAAGCAGAACTAGATGGTTTTCTGGAACTCTGGCTTTCTCCATAATCCAGCACATGTTAGCAATTTGGTCTCTAGTTCTTCTGCCCCTTCAAAATGCAGCTTGTACTTCTGGGAGTTCTCGGTCCACATACTGCTGAAGCCTTTTGAGCATAACCTTGCTAGCATGTGAAATGAGTGCAATTGTACAGTAGTTGGAGCATTCTTTGGCACTGCCCTTCTTTGGGATTGGGATACAGACTGATTTTTTCCAATCCATTGGCCACTGCTGAGTTTTCCAAATTTGCTGGTATATTGAGTATAGCACCTTAACAGCGTATGATATATTTCTATAAATATTGCAATTCTTTATATATTATATCAGGGAAAATATTCTAATCAAAATAATGATGTGATATTTACCATTCTAGTTTGTCCATCCTCAAGCCTGGAAAAGTTACTTTTTTGGACTACTACTCCCAGAATTCCCCAGCCAGCAAGTAACTTTTCCAAGCTCTGGCTCCCTTTCTTTCATCATCAGTTTCATATTCAAGATAAGCTGCTACTGGTGGTTGTTTTATTATAATTATTCACCTGTTATTTTAGTTGGGCCCAAGGCTGCAGTTATGCCTTGTTGTGACCCAGCTGGCCACAACCTTATGCTTACTTATCAGACAGTGGTTCCAATTAATTCTATAAGACTTATTTCTGAGTGCACAGATCTGCAGAATTATGCTGTAAGCCCACATAGTGAGATGCTTGGGACAAGCATGCTGTTTGACTTCAAAGCTACATTCTTCTACTTCATTAATAGTTATATGCCATCAAGTGGATTCTTTCCAAGGTTTTTCTAGGGATCAAATATTTAGAAGTGGTTTGCTAGTTGCTTCTTCCAGGGGCACTCTGGGACTCAGGATGTGTAACTTGCCCAAGGTCACACAGGCTGGGTCTTCTCCTCCAGGGCCCAGTGGGGAAGCCGTGCATCTTTTCACTGAGCTATCCAACCCGCTTCTACTCAGTTACCTTGAACTATATTCCACTGATCTCAGTGGTACTTACATCAGAGTACACAGGCAGAGGCCGACACTCTCTTAATCAAGGCATTTCTTATCCTGCCTTTTGAATGATAAAAGCCCCCAAAGAGTCTTAAGAAAGGGTCCTTCTGCAATAACATTTTTGCAGCATGGTGTTCTTCAGTTCCTGTATTGTCCCTCTCATTCCTTGTGTTTACTTTCAGCACTCAGTCGGGAGTATATTGGTAGTAAGCACACTTGGTCCTCATTCAGCTGTTCTGTGGAGAAAACCCCCCCCCCATTCAAGATTTCTTTACTTAAGTTTTATTTTCAAGGGGGGTTTACTTCTGCAGGTCATCATGACAGAATTCACCCCAAATGTATTGTTTTTGCCATTATTTTGGCTTTATGGCAGCATTTGGAGAATTAAATGGGAATTAGAATATGTGGCTATGGTGATGATGTTTTTAAGGAGAAAGGTGGGATAGAAATATTCTAAATAAATAAAATAAAATAAAATGTTTTTCTTTCAGAGATAGATTATGTGAACTCTGCACTTTGTTGACCTTCATGTGAGGCAAAGGATACAACTGCCAGATAAAGAATTTATTTGCAATTCAGTGTGTATTTGCATATGTCTCTTTCAGATAATTGGCTATTCACCACTTGTGGGGCCAATGGACCTCATGGGCCCACTCAGACCCAATGCAATGATGCCTACAGGAACACTAACGTCAGCGTAGTGGTAGGGATGGAGGAGCACTTCCCAGGAGTACAGATCTGGCGAGTGCCTGAAACCAATACATACAGGTAAGAGTTTTTATTTTATTTTAATTCGCTTCAGAAAACTCCCCATCACCATGTCTCTGAAACCCATTACATGAGAAAGTAATAATGAAAATATAGGCTCTCAGTGCCTGAATCACTTTGGCATACAGTATGTGTATGCCTCTCTTGGTGTAAATTGTATCTGTTGCCTTGTGCTGGCTGCCTCTCACCACTACTCACTGCTACTGCTATGGGGTTGTCATTAATTTTGTTTAATTTTTTTCCAAGTGGGATAGTGATAGTCTGACATGGAAGTTTACAAGCCAGCAGAGAAAGAAAGAGGGAAAGCACTCCTTCCTTTTTTGAAAGCCTAGAAGCTTCGGACCTTGTAAATTGCTATAGTCCGTTCCATTTTGTGTAGTTTCACTTTCTCATGTGCAGTTTCCCAAAGCAGTTTAAAGCTCTTAGTTTATATCAGAGTGATAATGTTCACAATGAATGTGTACAGCAATACAAAAACCACATGACTCAAAATACATTGGAACTGAAAATGATACAAATCAGCAGTGTAAACCGTACCCTGAAAATGATACAGACCAGTAGTGTAACCACACCCTGAGCTGGGAATATGCAGTTGTTCAAAGAACTGAATCTCTGGACTGTCCCTCTGTGCCCCAAACTGGCCGATCATGGAGCAAACCTTGACAAGGAAACTTGATTCAGTTCTGGGTATTATCCAGGCCTTAGCCATGTACAATATATTTTCCGGACTGACGAAGTCCACAGTACTCCGAAAATTCAATTTATATTAAGTGAAAAGGAAGAAATGGTGGGTTTGTTAAAAGGAATGTGAAAATGAGAGTCAAAAAGGTTAAGACGGTTAAGTATAGTGACTAGAGATGGGCACGAACCTTGGCCTGAAGGTTCGTGCTGGTTTATATGCACAGCACTATAGATGCTGCACATTCCCTTCCCCCGCCTCCCAAGCCAATGTCCCACTTACCAGCTGACGCGCACTCCTCTCTTCCTTCTCTCCTGCTGTTCAGCCAGTCTCAGGCAGAAGCACCGGCTTCCCTGCCCTGTTTAAGTGTGCAGTCAGCCAAGGAAACAGGGCTGAGAGTTCTGTGCTCCTGCCAGGGACTGCTGAACAGTTAAAGAGGAGGAGTGGAGCGTGCATCAGCTGGTGAGTGGGGGATCCAGCCTGGGAGGTGAAAGAAGCAGATGCGTTGCTACTGTGGTGCTGCACTTACAAACTGGCACAAACCTCCAAGCTGAGGGTCGTGCACATCTCTAGTAATGAGAGACAGATCAGCCTGGTTCTTACCCATATTATTTTCACATACGTATAGTCATAAGCCTATTCTGGTATGTCCGACCTCCACATCAAGAAAAAAAGAAAAGAAAAGAAAAGAAAGAAAGAAAGAAAGAAAGAAAGAAAGACTTTTTGAGTGGATTTTTGTATGGATTTTTATCATTAAGGATGTTTTTGCATGATTTTTAACCTGATACGTAATTTTATATGGATATTATTAGTACTGTATTTTGACCTGAGAATTGTAGAGAAAAGATTGAAGTGTGAAATCTGGATAACTGTGTGTTTGAGCCTGAAAGAGGCAGGTCAGGTCAATACATTTTAAAACACAGATTGAATGAAAACGTCGAACATCCCTAAATGTAGGTTAAATAATTTATTTTTGTTGTTGGTGGTGGTGGTGTTAAAACAATAATCATATATGGTCACCTAGAACGTATGCAACAGATTGCAAAAACTATCCACCACCTAAAAAGAAAACTAACGTGGTTAACAAAAAAAATATATGAAAAAAAAGATATAAAATGCAATGAGGTTCCTTTTACAAAATTAATCTTGCCCAAATTAAACATTCAGAAAGCAGCCCTACCACCTGGTTTCGGTGTTAGCGATACTGGCTTTAAAAAATTATGATTTATTAAGATCAAAAGATTGTATACTTTATTAAGGCAGAAACTACTGGGATGCCTTTATTCCTCCTCCTTCCCTCTGTTGGCTTCAGGTTAGCAAAAAAGTTACTTTTTCAGACTAAAACTCCCAGAATCCTCTAGTCAGGACGGCCAGGTTCTCAGTGTTTCAGTGCAAAACAGAAGCACAGATTCTTTCCCCTGCTTTCCCAAGTGCATCTTCAGTCACAAAACCTGTTATGGCCAGTTTCCATATCAATTTCCTTTCCTTTCTTTCCTTACATTGTGGAGATGTGAAGAGTCTTGTGCATGTTTATATACAGATTCTACCAACGTTACTGTGTGTTTGCACACAACAGCCGAATTGGCATGACATAACGAGCCAAATGCCTTGGCTATTTGTGAACGGGAAGCTAAGAGCAGCAGGTCGTGCTGCTAAACTGATCCCATATACAGCAGAGCTTTGCTTTGTTTATTGTGCTATTTAGCAGCTGGACACTTCCTTTCAGTGGTGTATTTTCTCCTAAAGAAAGAAGCCAGGGTTTTGTTTCATGGTTTCCTTAGCTATTCTCACTGACTTATGATGTTGCGTGAACTGGGCCTCGGGAAGGCATTGCAAAACTGCATTTTGGTTTGCATATTTACTCCAGAGATAAAAAATTAATTCTGTTTGCTTAAGCATGCAAATGACCAAACAATATTGTCTCCCACTCCCCTATTATACCAATAGTCCCATTAAAGACATCACTTTTTTCACTGAAACCCGAAATTCATACATTTTACTTGCCATTATGTGAGTGTGCCATTGATTCTTCATGGAGAGCTCCTCCTTGAAGACCATGGTAATGAGTTTAAGTTGCTGTGAGACACAACACAGAGCTTGTGTTGCTTTTGTGCTTATTTTTTTCTGTTTTCATCTGGGGTCGGAAGGAAGAACGATGTTGCACTACAGAAGCTGGATTCTAAGCTGCGGTGAATGACTCAATGCTACAATCACACAAAATAACAAAGAGCAAGAGCCTAGCGAAATTGGCAAGGAGAGGTACCCAATCTGCTCTCCTGCCCATTTTCAGGGCGATTGATGATAATGAAAAAACTAATGATGTTTCATTCAGCCATCCAGAAAAGAATGGCTTGCCTGTGGGGAATGGGTAAGAAGAATTTTTCAAGGCTGGCATATAGCATGTACGCTTATAAAATATAACCCCAAAGTAAAAAGAGAGTAGTAAATTTTATGCACAGAAGTCTCATTTCTTTAATGTTAATGCCCAGGGACAAAACAAAATTCACCAGTATGTCGCAGCTGATTTTATTTTATGATATGTTAGCACATAGATCAAAAACTACAGGTCATCAGTATGCTGACTTTTTAATGGCATGTTCTGCATATTGCGGCTTGTGTTTAAATAATCAGTACTATTTGTGATGGGTCATTATATTCTCTGTGCTCAAATGGCATTGTAGGCTATTCCACAATGCCAGTATCACCAGCTTACATGGTGGCATTGCACAAACACAGTATTTTGCTACTGATACACACTGGGAGCTGCCCAAATGAATGCCTTGCTTGGATCTATAAATGAAGTTTCCTAGGCCAATTTGGCCACCATTGATGGCTTCTCGTGATTGTTAGCCTGCCAGGAGTGTTTGGCTTGGCCCTCTTATTTTAGTCGGTCTGTTGGGAGCTCTAAACTATACCACTTCTCGAGGGATGGTGGAGTGACAGCATTGTGACAAAAAAATAGGACTTCATTTTGATTTAAATGGGGAGAAATGAGTCAATAAGTAGGCACATTATTTTTTAAATAAGCCATAGTTTTTAATGTAGTTTTTAATTAATCGCTTTTAATAAACCTAGATAAAAGCAAAGAAAACCAGTTCTTCATGTGACAAGTGTTGTGGGTGGCTTCTCCAGAGGAAGAAGGTCTGGTGTCTGCTTGTACCTTGTTACTGCCAGACTCCATAGAGTGAACAATCTTGTCCAGCCTTTCCTAACCTTACATCCTCCAGATATATTAGACCATAACTCCCATCTTCCACTATTCCTAGCTGTTATGCCATGGCCATAACAGCTAGGAATAATCAATATTCTAGTTGAACATGTCTGGAGAAAGCCAAATAAAGGCAAGGTGAACTTGCTATAGGCAAGGAGTTGCAACTGATAGCACCTAAGCCATTCCACCTCCCCACCTCACCTATAAGTCAGACAGACTTTCATGGGCTCACCCTAATGGTCTTTAGAGTAGCTTGCAGGCCCTTTTTGGTGAATGTGATTGCATCATTTCCATAATCAAGAGTCCTGTCCTATCATGGTCCCTAGTCATGGAAACACTGCAGGTACAATGAGGTGAATGCCTTTATGAACATTTTTGCTAAACTTTGAGGTGAACAGGAGAGTCCTCATAAATTTGGGAGTGGAGTTGGGGGCAGGAACAAGTCTCTTTTTTTAAATCCTCTCATCATCAACACACATATAGCTCTGCATGCTTTCAGATTTAACACTGGCTTATCTGTATTTTGTGTTTAGATATTGGAACAAGTGCAAATGACATGTTTTTAAAAATGCCCTTACCTGCTTAGCTCAGATTCTCAGAATTTTATTTTTAAAAATTATTAAACTTCTACAAACACATGTGTTTTGTTTTAAAAAAAGTAAGTTCAAAAAGGATCAGTGGATGCAATACAGGTGTTTAATGCCTGTGCTTCTAATAAATTATATATCATTCCCTTTTTTTTTCTTTGAATTTTCTCACGAACCTTAACATATACATGGAAACATTCTTCCTTACCTCTTATTGTGTAAGGCTTAATGTAAGCAACTGGAATGCGGACAGACATGTCTGGGTTCCAGAACTGGATCTCTCCTCTTTCTGGACTTATAAATCCCACAGAGAAGGTTGTTTTATGTGTTCCTATTTCTTCATCTACTTTTACTCATTTGGACAAGATGGCCACTGGCATTCACAGGAACTTGCAAATTATCGCAGCCTGTTAGCAATGGCAGAACAAATAACCTCTTTGTAGCCACTGGCTTTGACAAACGTAGAGCAGCTGTGACCTAGGGTTTGCTGTTCCTCTTCCTGCACAGCTGGTGAATGAGGCACTCACAGTGTCTCTCTGGGTTGCTGGCTTTATTGCTTATATGCAAAATCTACTCATACATAGAAAAATACAGCCCTTAATTGCTGCCAATTAGCCCTGCCAGCTTGCCCTGCTCAGTATTGTACCTCATTAGCTGTTACATCTTTCTGCTGAAAATCAGCTCAATGGCTCCTGCTCTCTGTAGCATCTGTTCAAGGGACCCTATCCTGTGGCTGTTACTCTTGTGTCTGCTGCTGCCTTGAGGAATGATTGCTTTGGTTACAGAAAGTGACACATGAACATTGTTGGGTGAGAATCCAAAAACCTGCTTTATGCGGCCTGCTTGTAAGCTCTGTAGCCAGCTTGGCAATTGAGCCTTTACTTGGACCTGACTTTTATGGAAGTGCAGGGTTGAGGTATGATTAAACTCAATACTGTGGCAGAGCCAGGATGAACAGCTTAGTAAAATGGATGAAAGGCGACAAACTGAGAAAATGAAATATCTGAAAAATTCAAATTCAGCACCAAGGAAGCATAGAATGTTCTGTGGTCAGCATAAATGATTCCAGCTGTATTTGGTATGCCAGATTTGTTCTACAGATGCCCTGTGACGTGCTCCTTCTTTTCTTTCACTTGCAGTATCTCAGGTTATGGAGCAGCCGGTGGCAAAGGGAAGAACACCATAATGAGGTCGCATGGTGTGAGTGTGGTGGGAATATTTAAACTTCAGAAGAATGAAACATTGTACATTTTGGTGGGGCAACAAGGAGAAGACGCCTGCCCCAGTGTAAGTGATTGCTGTTCCTAACAAAAGTTTGTTATTCTTCTTGGTGCTCCTGCTGAAATCTTGGTACATCAAGATTCTTAGGATGAAAATGTTCATTGTAGATAGCTTGTTTTAAAAGATTGTATTCCTTAAGTGTGATTGTAATTTGCAATTTAGCTTTTTTGTGTGTGCATTTAGTCTTCAGAATATAAGAATGTCCTTCCTTCAGAAATTTGATTTCTCAGACATGACAAGACTGATTGTATCACATATCTTGAACATTAACATAATTTCAGCTTAATGAAAGGTTAATATCCGATGTATAATTTGGCTCTCAGTATTTCTGTTGTTCTTTGTGGCCTAACTTGACCCCAAGGATATCTGTGTCCAGGAAAGCTGCCAGTGGCAACGCCAACCATGTCATGAAGTCGAGCTGAAGTAAACTGGCAAAATTGGCTGCCCAACCCCGTGGAATGACCACATCCTTTCTTCTGCCTGTATGCCTGTTGCATGCACCACTCATTCATGTCTGGCATAGCCGGGAGGATGTCTTCTTTTAAGAAAGTCTGTCCTTCTTTTGATGGTGTCTTCCATTCCAAGCCTGGTTTGAAGAGAAAGACCTATAAGGATGGATATGAGGGATCTTGATATTTCCCAGCCATAGCAAGCAGAACCCAGACACAAGTCAGCTGGTGACAATTTTCCCCACTCATCTGGGATGTTTTGCAACTCCATTTCTTTTAATTTGTCACTGGGAAGGGCCAGAAAACACACATCTTCATGACAGAGCAGCAGAGGCTGAGGACTCTGATTTCATGGAGAACAATGTCACTGATCCGGGTTTTGGTCTGAATGTCAAAAGAGCTATCCGTAGTGCTGAACCCTGTTTTAGGGACATGGTTTTTCACTTTGAGTAGCTGCTATAAAACTGAGGCCATGAATGTTGACCATTTTGGGGTCCCAGTCCTGAGGCCAAGACTTTGGTCTCAAGTCTGAGTCTTTGGTTCCAAGTCCCAAACCCCAAGTCAGAGTCGCTATTCAAAACAAGCTTTTTTCCCCCAGAAAAAAAGGGGAGAGGTGGTCCCAAGACAAGTCTAAATCAGTGTGTGTGTGTGTGTGTGGGGGAAATTGAGTAGAGTCCAAGTCAAGTCACCGGAGCAAGTTAAGTCCAACTTGACAGTGAGTCCTGCAACTAGTCCGGCAACTTGAATCCTCATGCCTGGTTGAAGCTAAGAGTGGATTTAGTAGTGTCACTGTCTTCCGCTGTCACAGGATGAGTGTTTCTACCAGTTAGGTGGGAAATTGGTAGGGAGGTGACATTTGGGATAACATTGATTAACTTATTCTGGAGTTATAATTTAGCTAAATCCACTACAACATAAAAAGAGTGTTCTAGCCTTTGTCTTATCATCACAACTGTTGCTCTTCTACAGATGGAAGACAACAAACAATTTCTGGATAGCTCAGTGGTTTAGGTCTCTGACTGCAGAGTCAGACGTTGGGAGCTTGATTCCCCACTGGGCTTTCTTGACAAGGGCTTGACTCAATGATCCATAGGATTTCTTCTAGCTCTGCAGTTCTAAAATTATAGGTCTATCCATGGGGATTCTCCATGTGAGAATCTGGAAGACCAGGGTGACTAATATGAAGAAGTATTCACAACTGGATACTTCAGATCTGCAACCTCCATATGTAGAAGGCTGACAAAACTAGGGAAGGAGAAGGAGGGGTTCGAGCACTCTTCTCTACACATGGTGAATTTACCCAGGTTATAACGCATGAACAAGACTTCTGCATCAGGCAAGCACGAGATAGGTGGGATTTTAATTTCCTTGGAGATTTCCCCCAGAGGTTTCCACTTTATGGATTCCATAAAATTCAATGAAGCTGACTTGTGTTCTTCCCAGAACTTGGAAATGTTACTCTTTTTTTTTGAGACTCCAAGTCCTACGATTCTCGGTGGTTAGGGATTCTGGTGGTTGTAGTGCAAAACAGGAACATTTCCAAGCTCTGGATCATATTTTTTTAAAAGAAAGGAATGGCAAGATCATTGAATTAAATTCACATATTACTATGTTCTGGAAAAGAATTCAGTTTGCGTTCTTTCCTCCTCTCCTCCTCTTTCTAGTAGCTTTTCTTTCCACCTTGCTTTTGTATCCCTTACAAGAAAACTCAAAGGAGGTGTCAACTTTCCTCTCTCTCTCCCCTGCTTCCTCTCTCTGAATCATACAAAGCTATTTGTCCTAAGCATTAGTATTCTCTACGGTTCTTGGTTAGAGACTCTTTCAGATGGCTGAGGTCCAGACACTGGAAACTTACACTGTCATTATGGACTGAATAAAGGAAATGGGAGATTCCAGTGCAAAAGTTCACCATGCAATATCAGAAAAGAGAGGGTGTGTGCCCTTTCACATCTGCACTCACTGTGCACATAAATGCAAGAAATTAATATTTTCTGGAATGAGAACTATCCGAACTCAGTCTCCTATTTTCTATCCAAAATCTGAGCATTGCAGCACATCTATAATATATGGAGTCATTAAATTACAGACCATTGTAATCTTACCAAGGATTTATTGAGTGCTAATGTAATTCTTTCATCGAGGCAAAGAAATTGCATTGACTTAGGGAAGTGGCTTTAACTTGATTGGATTGTAATCAGTTATGTCTTTGCCATGAAGTCTTCCTTTTTTTAAAAAAAAATATCCAGTTGTGATCTATTGGTTTATCTGGGTCATTACACTAAGTCACTTGATTCACCATTCTTTTTCCAGTTGTGAATTAGGTTTAGCAGGTGTTTGGTTTTTTATGACACCAGTGGCCTTCTGTGTACCAGCTCCAGGATTAGCTAATCCTATTGATTAGCAGGCTTAACTTTAATAATAATTACTGTATGTCCCATAAAGTTGATTCTAGATATAGACTATGCAACTGGGATCACTCCAATACTATGCAGCTTGTACAAAGCTACAGAGGCTGGCTTTTCTCCTGGGATATACAATGGGGAACTGAACTACCAAAATACCTAACTCACTGAGCTATATGGGTTCTATTCCCCCTTTGGTTTATGTGAAGGTAAAAATTACCTAACAGTGGGATTGTGTGTTGTTATGTGAATGTATTATATCATACAGATAAATATTTTCTCATTATATGTTTTCCTATCTTTGTTCTGAGATTCTCACCACTTTCAAGAGTGTTTTCATTAATGAAATATTGTAGATTGAATTGTTTGGAAAGAAAAGGAGCCTGCACTATGTCTTTGTAGCCCATGCCTGGCATTGAGCAGTAGTTAAATTGCAATACGGCAGCCAAAGGTCTGCTCACAACCCAGGTTCAATCCTAGGTTTCACTCAGCCTTCCATTCTTATGAGGTGACAGATCAGGAAAGAGATCTTGGTGTGCTGGTGGACAGCTCAATGAAAGTATCAATCCAGTGTGTGGTGGCAGTGAAGAAGGCCAATCCCATGCTAGGTGTCATTAAAAAGGGGATTGAAAATAAAACAGCCAACATTATAATACAATTGTACAAAATGCTGGTAAGGCCACCCCTGGAGTATTGCGTACAGTTCTGGTTGACGCACCTCAAAAAAGACATCGTGGAACTGTAAAAGGTGCAGAAGAATGACTAAAATGATGACTGGTCTGGGGCACCTCCCTTATGAAGAAAGGCTACAGCATTTGGGGCTCTTTAGTCTAGAGAAAAGTCACCTGGGGGGACATGACTGAGAAGTATAAAATTATTCTGGGAATGGATAAAGCAGATAGACACAATACCAGAACCAGTGTACATCCACTCCAGTTGAGTGTTGGGAGAGTGAGAACAGACAAAAGAAAATAGTTCTTTACCCAACATGTTGTTAGTTTCTGGAACCCCTTGCCACAGGGTGTGGTGATGGCATCTGGCCTAGATGCCTTTAAAAGGGGATTGGACAGATTTCTGGAGGAAAAGTCCATTGCAGGTTACAAGCCATGTTGGGGATATATAATCTCCAGCCTTAAAAGGAAGGTACCTAAACATGCCAGATGCAGGGGAGGGGGTATCAGGAGACAGGTATCTAGTTGCCTTGTGTGCTCCCAGAGGCATCTGGTGGGGCCACTGTGAGATATAGGAAGCGGAACTAGATGGGCCTTTGGCCTGATCCAGCAGGGCTCTTCCTATATTTTTGTGTTCTTATGAGGTTGCTAAATTGAGTGCCCAGCTCTCTGGAGTGTGGTTGTGCAATGTGTAATCTGCATAATTGTAAACCACCCAAGAGTATTTTAAGTGCTATGGGATATATAAGCAGTATACTTCACTTTTGCATTTTGTATGTTTATCACTTGATAACAATATTAAGTGATGTCTGAACAAACCAACAGAAACATAAATCGATAGTAACAACTTCCATACCTCTTCATATCAGACTCAATACTTTTCAATGGAGTTGGTTTATACTGAGCTAGTTGCTTTTGACCTTCCTGACATTTTGGACTGTTCTCCTTGTTTGATTGTTTTTCATCCTGCCTTTCCAAAATCAGGCAGAAAAATGATTTACAAAGAGACTATATAAAAAAATATATACAATGTTATTTATACCAGCATGGCCAATGATAAGGTATTGTTGGAAGGTTGCAGATGACACTGAAAATGTGTATTTAATAGCTAAATACCCTGGAAGACAGGGGAAAAAAATTCAAAATTATCTAGATAGGCTGGAGCACAGAGCTCAAAACAACAGAATGAAATTTAACAGGGATAAGTGCAAAGTACTGCATCTAGGAAAAAGAAACCAAACACACAGTTACAAGATGGGAGATACCTGACTCAGCAATATTATGAGTGAGAAGGACCTTGGAATTATTGTAGATCACAAGCTGAATATGAGCCAACAGTGTAATGTGGCTACAAAAAGGGCAAATGTTATTTTAGGATGCATTGTCAGAAGTATAGTCTCAGTGAGGTACTAGTTCCCCTCTGTTCAGCACTAGTTAGGCCTCATCTTGAGTTCTGTGTCCAGTTCTGGACACCACACTTCAAGAAGGATGCTGACAAATTGGGGAACAAGTTCAGAGGAGGGCAACAAGGATGATCAGGGGGCTGGAAACCAAGCTCTATGAGGAAAGGCTGAAAGAACTGGGCATGTTAAGCCTTGAGAAAAGAAGACTAAGGGCAGATATGATCGCACTTTTCAAATACTTGAAAGGCTGTGATACAGAGGAGGGGAAGGATCCCAACCATCCCAGAGTGTAGGACATGCAACAGTGGACTCAGATTACAGGAAGCCAGATTTTGGTTGAATATCAGGAAACACATCCTGTTAGAGCCGTACGGCAATGGAACCAATTACTTCGAGAGTTGGTGAGGGCTCCAACACTGGAAGCACTCAAGAGAAACTTAGACAACCACCTGGCAGATATCCCTTTGATTTGTATTCCTGCACTGAGCAGGGGAATGGACTTGATGGCCTTATAGGCCCCTTCCAACTTCATTATTCTACCATAGAATCATTGAAAATGATACATGATTCTATGATTCTAGAAGCATATTAATAATATTTTCCCCAAAAAGTGAGAAATATGAAAAGGAAAAGGAAATAAAAATGTATGCATGTAAACTTTTATAGAAGCTTCTCGATATATAAAAATATATCCATACATGCATTTGCCACGCATGTATATGTTGATGCTGTCATAAGCTGTCTATCCTCTAATCTAAAGATGTGGCATTTATTTTTCTAGTGTTGTAATATGAGGACATTTTGGTCACAGAAATTGTACTGTGTCCATTTGTGCTGACCAATGGTTAATCTCCAGGAGGCACATAGATAATTTAGAAATATATAACCATCAATGAAGACAAAAGAGTAATCCAATGCAAAATTAATATGTGCAATAACTTCTCCCCAATAGTAGCCTGTGACTGGACTTGAGCGTAGCGTGTATTTGAGAGAGGCAAGAGGAGAAATGAAGCACCGGCACTAAGATACAGACCTTTCCTGAGCCATTGTGGTATTCAGTATATCCTAAACATGATTATATTTGCTGGGTGAGTCTTACCTTCAGATCCATAGAGATTGCAGGAGTTAAAATCAAACATATCTGAAGAATGAAATGTTCCATACTCTGTGTTTGGAAGTTCAGCTGGCAGCCATCAAGGGTGTGACAATTGCTGTGAAATCAGATGAGGTGCATGGATGCATGGAAACAGACTTAGATAAATAGCAGCCAAGTGTATGAGTTAATACTCCATCGAAAAATCATTGCTTTGAAGTGAGGCGAGATGGAATTAAAAGTGCTGCCTTTAATGACTGGCCTCTATCGAGAGGCAGAGAGATGAATTAGATGGAACCAGAGGAACTTATAGACTGGGAGGCACCTCATCCCCAAATTTCTCCTTAGTCACGATCCACTCTCAGGTGGAATTTGAAGTGCACACAGAGAAGTGGAGTCCTGGATTCAAATTGCTATTTAACTCACTGCATAGTTCAATAACCATATTGGTCACTCTGACCTCCCATTCCAGGAAAGGGTGGATATTAATATATTTGTGGTCCTGTTCTTAAATTTTGGAAGATCCTTGTCTCGGGCCAACATCTTAATAGGCTGTGGAAGAGGGCAGTGAAGAAGCCTTGCTAAATTACAAGTTCTCAAGACAAGATGTCCTGACAGTAGAATGTGCACTAATCGGACATGAGATTTCTTGTCTCTGGCATGTGAATGAGACAATATGTCCTTTTTCAATTCACATTTCTGTAATTGGTTCAGAATGTGTCTGCACAAGACTAGTGCATTTTCCCTTTGTGAAGCCAAATAAAGCACTGACAGAGAGAGGGAGAGTCAGGAGTCAAGAAATTCATGTCAAGTATGACAGAAGCTGTCTCACCTTCACATAGACGAGAAAGAAAAATTGTGATTTCTTGATCTCAAGTGCAAGAATGATACACAGAAGGATTTACATTTGTACTCTGGGATGAGTGAAGTCAACACCAGCTCATCCCACATCATGAGCCTGGCAGTGTGATGAGTGAAATACATATCTGACGCTTTCCTTCTCCTTTTTTTGGCTTTGCTCTTGGCAGCAAAGGTTGGCAGAAAACCTGAGGCACCCATGGAAATATTTGCACAACCCTAGGCCATCACAAATCATATTTCTTATATAAGTGGACGTATGTTTTATCTGCTGTAAGACATGAATACATCGAGCTTTTCTGTATGCAAGGGAGCATCTGGAGGAGGTTGTTGGGCTTGCAGGCTTTCTGAGATCGCAACATTGATCTGCACTTTGTGTTCTGTCTCCCCCAAACTGGTCTGAGGGACAATCTGCCAAGATCTCATAGGTTGAGCTAAGGAACAGACCTGGTATTCTTCAGTCAGACACTGACCTTTTCTGCAATCTGAGTACCTTCGTTTCTTCCCATCTGTAAGGTGGCTCTAATAATTAACCTTTGTTCAAGAACTCCTCGAAACAGACATGAAGGCCAAATGTCTTAATTATTTTCAGGAAGAAAGGGTTCTTTTCCGATAATCTCTTTCCAGATAAATGTGTGCCATCACTTTGCAGTGGCTGGCTAATACTTTTATGATTACATTAAGCAGCAAATTAGCCCAGTCAATAAAGGAAGCAAGAGCAGAGGTTCCTCTTCATCAAGCTTTTATCTAAAGATTTCTTCCATTTCAATTGGCATAAGCCTAGACTACCGATGCAGTTTGATGGAGTGACAGAGTCCTGTTGTAATAGAGTAGGTGATGTCACATCAAGCTGCAGATATAGGATGTAATGTTTTATTGCTCTTCCACATACAAGGTAAAGGTAAATGTTCCCCTTGCCATTTAGTCCAGTCATGTCTGACTCTAGGGGGTGGTGCTCATCCCCGTTTCCAAGCCGTAGAGCCAGCATTTGTCTGAAGACAGTTTCTGTGGTCACGTAGCCAGCACAACTAGACACGGAATGCTGTTACCTTCCCACTGTCATGGTACCAATATATCTACTCACATTTGCATGCTTTCTAACTGCTAGGTTAGCAGGAGCTGGGACAAGCAATGGGAACTCACTCCGTCGTGTAGATTTGATCTTACAACTGCTGGTTTTCCGACCTTGCAGCACAGGGGCTTCTGTGGTTTAACCTGCAGCATCACCACATCCCTTCACATACAAGGCACCAGCAGGCAAAATCCAAAAACCCCGATATATCAAGAAGAAAAATCTGATCCCTCCTGTCTCCTGCTGGGCTGATTGCAGAGGGTGTTATGTTGGAGAACAGTCAAAAGTATGACCTTCCCACTTATACAGAATCTGAAATGAAATGCCACCCCTTATCACCATGGAACTCTTCAGTACAATCTAATTCTCCTGTCTGTGTAAGGTGATGTTGGGCTGAATATTATCACAATTAACAGCAGCTTTGTGGATAATGAAGAAAGAAAGAATATATAATCTGATGGTTGTTGTAGGTTTTATGGGCTGTTTGGCAATGTTCTTAAGGTCTTTAAGAATATGGCCAAACAGCCTGAAAAACCTACAACAAAACTCGGATCTCAGCCGTGAAAGCCTCCAAGAATACAATATATAATCTGCTTTCCCCTCCCATGCTGGGATATATTATCTCAACTTCCCATCTTATGTTTACCATCCAGTGACAAGACACAAAATAAAGTACAGTAAATGCAAGATAGGTAGCTGAGGAAAGACATGTTCTATGACAAATAGTTGAGTTTAACTACTCAGGTGAACAAATCTTCTAAAAATGTGGCATCATCTAATATGATCCTCATCCTAAAATGCCTTATTTTATCTGCAGACTAACCACATCATACAGAAAGTCTGTCTTGGAGAGAATAATGTGGTGGAAGAGGAAATTAGAGTAAACAGAAGTGTCCATGAATGGGCAGGAGGAGGTGGTGGAGGTGGAGGAGCAACATTTATATTTAAGGTATGGATATATTAAGCTATATTCTTTCAGTCAGAGAGGCCCAGATTACTGGCTCTTTTTTTATTCTGCTCCTTTTGCCTTTTATAGAGAGAGGATGTGTGAATTTGCCCATGTAGCTCTGCATTATTAACCACCACACTGATAGGCAGTGACTCTCAGAGTCTAAGGCAGGTGTTCCCCCAGCTCTACCTGGAGATATTAGGGGTTGAACTGGGGACTTGTTTCATGATAAGTAAGTGCCTTGCCACTAAGTTATGGCCCATTCCCTGAAGATACCAGAAGCCCTGGGCTGGTAAAGAAAGCAGCAAGCTTGCAAGACCACACCATTAAATCTGTAAGCTATCTGGATGTCATGATAAACCATCAATAATAGAACCACAGAATTGTAGAGCTCAAAGGGATCACAGAGTGACCTTGTCCAACCATCTGTTAATTCTGAAAAAATCCACAATCACTGACAGTTGGCCATCTAGAAGAGGAGTGGGAATGAGTGTTGGCAGAGAACACCTGACTCATATGCTTCTCATATTCTTTCCTCCTCCACTCAGCCAACCATGAAGATGTGAGGAGTAGCATTTGCTTCCATTTTTGTGAAGTCCCTGTTTACTGTTAAATATGATTTGCTAAAACAAACCATAATTAGGATTAGCTACGCCTGTGACAGATTTAGCTCACTATGGTTCATTCTCATTACAATTAGAAAAAATTTTTTTACTGTAAGTTACACACCAATTCATTGTCTCATTGCAAGGGCAGTATAACATATATCTACTTGATAGGAAGTCCAGCAACTTCCATTAGAATTTCAAAGAATATGGTATTTCAAAAGCTTCATGCCATACATAGATTTGCAGATCACGTAATTCTGCAAATATGAGACTGGGTAAACTAAGTCCAAAATTCTATTGCCTTAGAATTTTAACACCAAATTTCCTACACCATGCCATCCAGCCAGCTGAGAACAGAACTGTGTTACAAGGTTGATAAATCGCAGTCATGATGGACCCTTTTAGAGAAGAGGCATTTTGTTCTCATACTTTAAAAGAACAGCTACCAGAGGGCATTTGCATTTCTAAGTATATACCATGCAGAATACTGTTACTATTGCTGTTTGCCCCCAAAGTCCATGATAGAACTAATAGTCTCCATTAATCTTTGGGATGCAGGCATATAAATAATGCAAATTTTTAACAGACCATTCAACAGCCCTGAGGGCTTGCTTAGTGCAACTAGCATATAGGGAATGTGCTTGTTATTTACATGTCCAATGTAGCTAAAAATCCTGCTTCATTTCTCAATTCAATCTGTTAAGATGGAGAATGGAAAGCCAGTCCCCTTGATCATTGCAGCAGGAGGTGGTGGCAGGGCCTACAGGGCCAAAGCATATACATTAAACCGTGAAAGACTAGAGAATGACACATCTGTACCAGGGCTCAATGGGAGACCAGGAGCTGCAGGTAAGGAATGTTCATTACAGTAATTCATTCCAAGTTCCTTGCCAGGCACAGAGCTTGAGAAAGTTACATTTTGTGACTAGACTTTCCAGTCATTCCACCTGCCTAGCTTGATACCTACACTGGCTGGAGGATTGTGGCAGTTGCCAGACATAGCCAGGGAGCTGGCGAAAGCCATGAGTTCTGATCCAAAGAAGGGATATCCATACATCCAGAGATTTGATTGGTGGGTTGTCTGCATCAGCTAGAAAAGCAAGCAACTGTACATTGTACTTAGAAGAGGAAGCTTGTTTCTTCAGCCTGGGAACTGCTGCAGCAACAGTTAATCAGACAAATCTCCCACTCTCCATATGGTTCTCTCTTGTCTATTCATATCGTTTCTTTGGATCACAGCCATTATCATTAGCAAAGAAGAATTGCTCAGGAGTTATGGGTGCGAACTTGGAGTCCACAGCTGTCACATTATTTCCCTGCTGTACGGTAGAGTTATCTGTGTTACCTTGACCAAATCACAGATGTTCATGAGGTTTATTAAAAGTAAGTTATTTATCCCTTAACAATTTTTTTTAGGGTTGAAATAGTACTTAAGAAATTGAAAAAGCATGACCTTTTGACCAATTCATCCAAGAGATTCTTTTTTCCCCTCATCGAAGATATTTTCGGATGAGTGGCCTGAGAATTCTGCTACATAATTACTCCTCGTGAGAGCTCTTGAATATAAATTAATCTGAAACAAGACATACATTGAAGACTTCTTAACTCAGACTGGCAACTATAGAACATAGTCTTTTGTACTTGCAATTAGTACATTTTAATATTGTTTTGATGTAAATTAATCCTGGGTGTATTTACTTTGGAATCAGAGACTGGTAGCTGGTCCTCACTGTTGCTGATTCATACTAGAATTATATGATCTTTTGTGTGCAGAATATGTGATGTGAGATATGCTTGTGTACACAAGCAATATAAAAGAAAGGGCATTTATCCTTATTATTCTTTAATACACTTGACGGTACATCCCAAAGGCTATTCAGACCAAGTTTTGGGTGAGTTCATCTGTGTTAAAGGCTTCTAGTTATCGTACTAATTGTGAGAGTAGGGCAAGTGTAAGGTTTTTGGGTTAGCTAGCTTTCATAACATTTGTCTACACACACACACACACACACACACACACACAAAGAAGTAATATGTGCCATTTCTGAGCAGTGCACCTACTCTTCTAATTGCTAAAAATACTCCCTCAAATAAGAGATACCAGTTCTTAGTAGTACATCACTAAGCACCAGCACTGATTATTGGATTAAAACATTTTATGACTGCTTCCTTTTGGTTGTTACTATGACATCTTCTTCAAATACAGCAAGGTTTCTTAATATTGGGGGGGGGGGTAAAAAAAGAATCTTAGACTGAAATCCACATTCAATAGTCTGCCATCCATTATTTCCTGTTTTATCATTTGAATCAGGAAATGATGAATCAGAAACAAATCCTCTGGATAACACTTCACTTTCTTTGTACAAGGTTTTGCCATGAAACATAAGAAAGAGAAGCTGTTACAAACATGGAATCTCTTTTGTTAGATGCCTTCCACAGGTTAATAAATGGATTGCTAGCATCAGATCACTCATAATTCCTGTAGAGTAAGCAAACATTCTCAGTTCTTCCCCATTCTCAATGATGGACCAATCCGAGTGTTCTCCTTGGCCTGATCTTTATGACTGGAGGTACAGCATGAAAAGAACAGTGGCTATAGAGTCAGTTGAAATATTCACCAGGACAACAAGAGTCTTCAAATGGTGGAAGAACTGATGTGACTCTCTCAATGTTACCTACAGGGATGTGAGAATCTGTTTTCTCTGAATCCCACCTGCATTTTCTTCTCCATCCTTGATTTGTACTGTTTGCAGGACTTTGTTTTTCTTTCTTTCTTTTTTCTTCTCAAAAGAAAATTCGTATGCATTTTGGTCACATTCTTTCCCTAATGTCTGCAGGTAGTTGCTCATTTTTCTTGATATATGAAAAATATGTTTGTATGCCATTGCCCCATTGGGTTTGTGCTCATTTTTTTTAACAATACACATTCTGAGTTTCGTGCATCTATATGCACATCATTCAAAAAGGAAAAGGCAAAGAATTTATCATTCACCATTTCTTCCCATGACAGGAAGCTGAAAGATCCATGTACATGTTCACGGATCATGAACTGGATAAAGTCCTAGAGAGAATACCATTGATTGCTCCCCACCCACCCCCATTCCTTGTTATCTATAATGCAGACACCACACACTCTCACCTGCTTTGCATAATTCTTCACCCACAAAAAGTGGTAAGATTGCTCATATTGAGAATCTCTGCAGTCATGTATTGGCAGATGGTCTAGATCAGCCTTCCCTTTTTCCCCTTTTTTAATTTTTTTATAAACAAATAAAACAACAAAAATACAAATAATAGTGCTAGCTATACACTAAATTCTACTGTGCACGCCATACCCATGGGACCCCATTGAACAATATTTTTATTACAAACTTCCTTTCCAAAACTGAATAGATTGTTGTTTAGAGGCTTTCCCCTTTCCTTTCACTAATACAAATTCAACAAATTTACTCCAAATAGCATAAAAATATTACAACTTATTTCCCCTATTTTCATCTTGAGTTCAATAGTCAATTTATCATTTAATGCAATGTCCCATACTTCACCACGCCAATCTTCTAATTTAATGTCATTTTTGTCTTTCCAAAACCTAGCTATTAATATTATAGCACTTGTCATAAAGTTAGTAATCAATTCTTTCGAGTAATAATCAAGATCTAAGTTATCAAAAATGGACAACAAAGCAATTTTTGTGTTGAATTCAGTATCTTTACCAAATATATCACATATTTCCTTAAAAAACAGTTTCCAAATTTTCTTAACCAATTTAGTTTCTTCATCACATTTGCAACAAGCTTTGGAGTAATCTAAATTTATTATATTCAATTTTATAGGAGTCAAGTACCATCTTAAATAGATTTTTTTTAAAAGAAATTCCTTTATTCTCATCGACATTGACCTTGAAAGGTCAGCCTTCCCAACCAAGTGTCCTCTGGATTTTCTGCATCGCAACTTCCACTCAGAGATGTGTAATTTAAACCACTGCTACTATGTTTTTCTATAACAAAAACACACACCCTATTTACATATATGGCATTTACTTGCCTTCTGCCTGCGCTTTGCATTTTCTGCTGGCACCATGCAGTTGAGAATTTAATTCTATCATGCTATAGCCTGCGTTTTCTGGATTTGACAGAAACTTACATGAATTGCTTTTCCTTCTGTTACACTGCAGGTGGTGGAGGTGGCTGGAATGATAACACTTCCTTCCTCTGGTCGGGAAAATCATTGCTGGAAGGCGCTACTGGAGGAAAATCCTGCCCCCAGGCCATGAAGAAGTGGGGGTGGGAGACAAGAGGGGGTTTCGGAGGGGGTGGAGGGGGGTGCTCCTCAGGTGGAGGAGGCGGAGGATATATAGGTAAAGTGGCTTCGTGTTCAAGGTGTCCTTCCCCTCCCTTAGTGCTAATGCTCAGCTAAATGCTGAAACAAAATGTTCCTATAGCTGGCATATCTATACATCTCTCTATCTGTATATTTGAATGTTACATAATGCAACATGTTTGTGCAGGGGGTCTAAGAATCTGCATAGCCAGAATTCATATCAGCCCGGCTATCCATTGTTAGAATGTGTCAGCTTTTTAAAAATTCTGATCATCTCAGTGCTTATCTAATAAAAACAGCTTCTAGTCCTCATGAATATAGAAAGAATTTTAAGTGGGTACATATCTCTGGCTAAAGGATCAGAAACCAGAGAGAGGTATTCTAATAATCTTATGGTATTAAAAAGAGCCTCCACATTGTTCAGAGTTCCTAATAGTTCTAAATGCTATGAATATTGTCTTTTATGCTCCTTCTCTTGTATGTCTTTTATCTTGGTATGACTTTAAAAAGAGCTAAGATGGTGTCACAAACTTAATTTTTGTAGTATTGGAAATCCACAACAAACTACATCCAATTGTTTAAAGAGGTGACTTTTACAAGTCTTACTTTACAAATACGGGGAAGGAGAAAGGTTTCTGTAGAATTCTTGACCCCCTGTGCATATGATGTCATTTAATGCTAGATATATGTAGCATTAACATAAATTTTAACCAATAGCAGCAAAAACAACAGTCTTGACTTGTTCATTTTGGAAACTGAAGACGCATCTCCATAGTCTGGGGGTTTGTTGGAGTTTGCTTTGACTTCAGATCTCTGCATTTCTTTATACTGCAATCATGCCAAACTGTTACGATATTTATTTATCCAGGTACCAGACAGTGCCATTGGCACCGTCCACACAAAAGAACTTTTGGCAAACTCTGACAAATATCCCTAGATCTGCACTCTGAGGAATTATTGTAGGAAGATGTAGTATTAATCTTCAAGATTCTGCTGCAAATTTTGATTCATGGTGCTGTTTTCTTGAAGTTTCTGTTTCTTAACTTTGGGAGAAAAGAAATAGCTTGGAAACATTTGGTGTGCCTTATAAACTTGGAGTGCTTTTTGCACAAACATTGGTGTGGTATGAACCTGCCTCAGTCCTAAAGTCAGTGGCTTCTAGGAATCAAGCAAGTAACTACCAGTAGGCCCAGTCATTGGCTCCTTTCCTAATGATTACTAGCCACTCAGCTTTACTGATGCTAATTCAGAAAATTCTCCTTATGCTTTCATAAGGAAGCCTTTGACAAAAGCATTCATAGCCATCTGTCAAACAGAGGAAGCAATTTAAATTCAAATAATGAGTAACTAAGGTCAGAAAAAAAATCTTGGTCACCTATTTTTAATCTATTTTACCATCCCACACTTTCTCCTCTGCGGGTGGTCCTTTACACCTTATGTTGCTAGCGTTTTCTTTGGTTCCAGTGTGAGATAGATGTGGTGGCTGCTGTGGTGAAATCACCATGAGATTTTTTTAGAAGTTTGTCTACTGGTTATTTAAATGTGACATATCTCAAATACATATGAACTTTGTTCAGGCACTAAGAAGGAGCAATACTTTAAACCCACAAGAATGCTAGGCGTGCTCACTCTGTTGTGATTTCTGTGGCCCTCCACAAATGGCACTTCTCTGAAAATAGTCTCTATGAATACTATCTACAGTATATTAGAATGCCAGAAAACTCAGTATTGAGAATTCTGTGAAGAGCTTTCAAGAGGTACTCCTCTTCGGAAATTTACCCTCCAAAGGCAGGGGTGATGAAAACAGAAATAGAAGTGGAAAAGGCTAGCGTGTTCCCCTTTCAGTTAGTGTGATTGTCATATACTGGCTCTCAGTGCCTGAATAGGAGTTTCAGATGTCTCTCATCCTGGGGAATGAGAAAGGTCTGAATCAGGATGTAGTGAATCCATTTTTCTACATATGGTTAATACCAAAGGAGCAGGTGGTCCTTCATCACAACAAAACAAAACAAAAATTATCTGGAGCTAATTCCATCATATCAGTTGCCACTTCAGGACGGTCTTATTAACCCACATGTATATGTGAAAACCTCAGAGGAAGTATATGATCATTGCAAAACAACATGGAACTGCATGTATATGGTGCATACTTTCTCTGAGAAACAGAACACTTGTTGTAGGGTTCTTTGAATTTGCAAAGGTGCTTTTTCTGTTTCCTGCCCATTCCCAAGGGAGATAAAACTGAAAGAGCACACTCGAAGTTGCTTGGATTGATTGATCGAAAGACTGATAGTTCAACTGTTTGCTTGATGAAGGCAGAAATAAGAATGGTTGATGAAGAACAAATTTCCACTGTACGTTTTAATAGCCCAGAATCTCTGTGATGTCACCATCAGTAAATGGTAATAGAAACCCACCTTGCTCCATTCTAGATGAGCTGGCGTTGACTAAACAGCATCACAGAGAAAAGCTTCCCCATTATTGCTGGTCACTGTGTGTCAGCTTTACTGTTACATACACTGTATTTTCAGTCTTTCAATCAAGCAAGTATGTAGTAATTTATTTTGTTCAATTTCTCCAAAACTATAATCTTTGTGTGTGGTACATCTGCCCCAAACTGTGCTGAAACATTCATTTGACTCATTAATGCCACAAAGGTCTTTGGAAAACTGAAATCCTAAAAGTTAAAAGCCTAGAGGTGCATTAAATGGCAAACCTGCTGGATATTTACTAGTTCTTTTTCCACGTGAATGCCCTTTTCTGTGCCATATGCTTTTTACTTGGCAGTGTTGATTATTGGTATTATTCTTTTACCTGCCATAGTGACAAATGTCAGAAGGGTAGCCATCTTAGTTGGAAGAAAAAAAAGAGTTTGTGACACCTCAAAGACTAACACATTTATTGTGAGATAAACTTTTGGAGGTCAGACTCCCCTTGCACATTGTCAACCTCCCACTCATGATGAATAGGTACAGCAGGATCAAAGACTAAACAAAACCCCTGAAGAAGGACATTTACTTTCTATAGTGAAGTACCTTCTCCATCCAAAACCTGCAGAGTGGAATTGGCTAATGAATTCCTATTCAAAAACTTCAAGCTGGAATTCGCCTTTGAACAGGTTGCTGCACAAAATGACAGATCTCTTGTTGAATGCCCTGAGGGATAAGACCTTTGTATGTGTTCCAAATAAACTCTTATGAAGTTTGGGAGTGGGGTCTCATGCCCAAGACCCACATCAATGCTTCTGTCACCGTGGAGGGAGATTCAGACCTTTTCCTCGTCAATGTTCCCGACTGTAGGAAACCTCCGCTGAGCATGCTGGGAAGGTTTCTCCACACCTTTTGCATTAGGTTTCACTGTATGGTTTTGATTCCCTTTGTGCTCGGGTACCTACCTATCCACACCTAATGAGGTAGATTCTGACACAGAAAAGCATGTCCTCCAGTAGGAGTTGATCTTCAAGGTGCCACAAGACTCTTCATTGTTTTTGTGTGTAATTTTTGAACTTAACACTGTAACAGCATTTTAAGCCATCTCCCCATTCTGTGTAGGTGGCAATGCAGCTGAATTCAATGACCCAGAAATGGATGGAGAGGATGGTGTATCTTTTATTAATATCCAGTATGGTTCATTGTTTACCCCAGCCTTAAAAGGTATTTTCATCAGTTAAGGATTCTGCATTTTCTAAAATGATGTGTTTATTTTTAAAAACAACTACTGTTGAAAGGGTGCATTGAACTAAATACAAACAGTCTGCCTTTAGAGACAGCTGCGAAATCCTCAGGTTGCTAAATTAGGCATGATGCAGTTCTAGGAAAGCCAATAACATGTATAGTCTTCTGATGAAAAAAAGGCAGATCTTGCTCCAGAGATACTACGCATAGTGTTACTGGAAGCAGTGGGTACAAAAAGGCATAGACATGTAGATTTCCTCATTGAAAGACTCCTCACATCTAACTGCACAATGATGTGTAGAGGAAAGACAGAAGGGATTGGAAGCTATTGATGCTGAGACCTTGAGAGGAACCACTTGCTTTCAGCCCCTGCAAATTACCTCAATATAACTTCAAGTGTGTGTGGGGGGAATGAGTAAGCCATGCCAGAAAATCAATTCAGAGGGTGCAACTAGACAGCCAAATTGGAGCAGGTTGGATAGGGCTAAATAGGGTTGCTTAAAGTCACATAGAGGCGTGATGTGCCATTTGGTGTGATCCTTGCAGCCAGATGCAAGGATTAGGTGGTTTCTAGTCAGGAAAACACACCACACCTTAAGTCACTCTATCTGGCCGGTCTCCTTTTAAAGAGAAAGAAATAAAGAAATGAAGAAAAAGTAAGAAATGAAGACAAGACAAATAAATCCTTCTCCTTGTCTCTCCCTCTTTTTGGAAGGAAGCTTTCAGTTTTTAATCCCCCCCCCAAGGCATAATGCATCAACAAGGCTTTTGTGATTCTACCTACACCAAAACAAACAAACAATAGTAGGCACTAACAGGAAGCCAAAAAGTTGGGTGTAGGCATTCATCAGGAATGAGATCATTTGTGATGGCATGTATATCATATGGTTCCTGGGAAAAGAAGCAAACCAGCCTATCCCCAGAGTGGAACAAAGAGCAGAAGAAAATCCAGTCTAGTCCTACCCTTAGGGTTTTTTTCCCTTATGTACAGTATTTGTATTCCTTATGTTCCCATAATGCTAGCAGGATCCCTCTTCAAATAATAACAGGCAGAAGCTGGGGTAATTTTGGAGAAGACAGCTTGCTTGGGATGCGGGGGGGGGGGGGTTCTTTTTCAATAGTTAAAATCCAGTACTAAGGTGGAACTTAAAGAGGAGCTGATTCACCAAATCCTCACTGAACAAATAGACTTACAATTCGTTCAGACAATACACTGAATGAATTGTAACTTACTACTGGATTTTGGCCTATGTTTATATTTGTAATAGTTTGGATAAAACTTTTTGATAAGAAGGCTGTGAATGCAAAGTCAGCTTGCACATGCCACCGTCAGAAATAACTTAAAATATGTAGGGGGGGGGAACAGAAAATGCATGGCAGTCATGTTTTGCTCTTTTTTCGCACTTGTATAGATGATAGCCAAAGCTCATTTCATGTTGATAAATCAGCAGCTGCGCCCCAGGCCCACCTCTTTATGGTCCATTTCTGTGCACAGTCTCAGAGGAGCTTTTGACCTATCTATCACTCATATACATACAAGCAAGTAATATTTCTTCCGTCTGTTCCTTAGTGACAGAGGGGCATGGTGAAGTCAACATTGGACTGTATGTGAACTGTAGCCATTGTGATCATGACATGTGCCACAGGGATATGAAGACCCAGGAGATTGTCTGCATTTGTGTCTATGGATATGTGTTAGCTGATGATGGCGTCTCTTGCTTAGGTAAGAGGTTGGACAGGAGAGACCCTCCTTCAGGCAGCAGCCCTTTCATGCATTTCTCACATGCACAGAAGGAAGCAGGGATACAGCAGTGGCCCTGCTATGACACTGCATGGCCTGCCAGGCTGAAAGGGGACCCTGTTCTTGTTTTTTTGGGGTTTGTGTGTTAGGTTATCTACCTGCTCAGTTAGCCGCGGGCAGTTATTTGGGGCACAGAGGAACCTTGAGAAGTCCCCTGTTGCTCAGCAGACAAGGAGCAGGGGCAATGCCAGGAGGACAGATGGGACTTTGGGGCCAGGGCCAGCAGCACAGCCTTCGCTCCCTGTACTCATGCAATCAATGTGTGAACATGTGTATTTCCATGTGTATGCTTGTTCTGTATGACTCTCAGATCTGCAGCTGGGCAATTCTCTAATATGTCTGAGTTAATTATTCTGCTAAGCACATTACAGTACAGATTCCCAATCAAGCAGGCCTCTGCTGACTTGCACTGACTGCCGAAATTCTCAGCGTAATACACCTGTTCTGTTATGTGTACTAGATGCCTTTCATATTCCCTGCAGATCAGACTCTGATGTTCCATCACAACCTTTGTGGCATGCTGCTGTCTCAGTTCACTGCTTTTACCTGACAGAATCAGTTTCTTTTATGCAGTGCCATGCACCAGCGAGATCTTAGGATAATGAGAGTCATTTTTTCCTTCCTCTCATTTGCCTCTGTTTCCTCTTCTCTCCTCCCATTCGTTCCATCTGTTGTCTTTATGCTGTGCAGAAATGAAGGCAAACCTCTGCCACAATCAGCTTTCCTGGATCTGTGACCACTAATGGCCCATTGTCCCACTTTCCCCAATTAAGATCAAGCCATTGGAACAGATGGTTTTCTATTAGGAAATTAACACAGATACTTGCTGGATATGAATGGATTGACATGGAAACTGGGAGAGAGAAAGCAAAGCAGCTGTCAGTTTCATCTCTTAAGTGAAAGCAATGGTACAGAAGTGTGGAAGGGCTGTTCAGTAGTGCTTGCTTTAAACAATAAATAAATCCCTCGACATCAGAGACAATCAGTTAGATCATGGAAGGGCTAAATTGCACACACACTTAATTAATCATTAAGCAAAGTATGTTACATAATATCATTGCAATCTAACAGGATACCCACCTGGAATAGCAAGACTTGGAGAAATCTCTGCGTGAAAAGATTTCAGTTATCTCTCTTCTGCATTATATTCTATGTATGGGGCTGTGCCACGATCACTATTGAAGCCCATGATGGAAGGAGGCTCAGAACACCACTCACACCTTTTGTCTCTGTGCTTCTGTTCTAGCTGAACTGATACTGCCTACAAAGAATCCTCCTCTCTCCTTGGTCTTGTCTGTCGTGACATCAGCACTGGTTGCTTCTCTTATTCTAGCCTTCTCAGGGATCATGATAGGTGAGTTCATGCAGAAGATGGGGAAAACATTAGTGGTCACTATGTATAATGTATCTTCCAGTCTTCATCCCCTAAGTGATAATGGCAAAGAGATTTACCACTATTTTAAATATATGTTGTTAAATGTTGATGGACAAATAGAAGCTTAAATGAGCTTTATGAATGCTGCAGGATGTCCTCATGTGATAACGCAGCCAAGAAGTCAATAATTAACTAAATTAAGGAGTAATTTAAAACTATTATTATCACTACGTCTAGAAGGAGCATCACATTATGATGGAGATGGTGAGGAAGTTGGAAAAATTGCATGTGCTATGAATAGTGCATGTGTTCTAGATTGCTTCCTGTAGATTCTTTGATACTGTTGGTAAGCTTCTGAATTGGTCTCTATATGACCTCTTTTCAAATCCCATTTTGGCTATTGGTCTTCAATAATTATTTTCTCCAGACATTCCTGCTCTTGTTTCTCCCTGATGGACGTCCTATACTCGCTTTGTCTAATTAAATTTCCTTGCACTTTTAGAAATTAAAGAGAATTTAATTTCTGAAAGTGCAAGTCAGGGTGCTGTTAGACTGTTTCTCCACCCTTGGTCACTCACATCTCAGTCTTCCATCTCAAGACCTTGAGATTACTGAAGGCAAAAATCATGTGTTTGAAGGGATGTGGAGGTGTGAGGCTAAGCTTCCTATCTATACTATATTACCAGAATAAATAGCTTTTCCCCTCCTTACCCCATCCCTTCAACACAACGCAATTACTTATCTTTTGCAACATATAAGTTTCAGTATCTATTGGTGCCCTATGCAGTCACATTTACAGTGCAATTACTCCAATATTGGGTTAATCTTCCAGAGTCAAGGATGTGCTTTGGGAACATTCATACCCAGCTGCAATTACTTTTTTCAAAGTAACTTGTTTCATGTTCAATTAATTCTGATCTGTATTTTCCCAGCAGACATGTCAGGGGCCCCCACAGGAACTTTGAAAGGTTAGAAGAAGGACTGGATGGATATGTTTTGAAAGCTAGAAAAAAATAAAAAACCCTTTGAAAACCTTATCATATTTCCAAGGGCAAAACAAGTATCACAAAATTAGTGAAACAGACTTGCTAAAAGAAAACCCTTTGCTGAAATTCTTCTCAAGTATGTCTATTCACTCTGTTCCATGTGATTTGGATGAGAGTTTGTGCACTATTACTTTACGGGTAGTGTGAATGAATGGGCAGCTCCCAGGCCCAACTGCCCCTCACAAGGATTCAGGACTGATCAAGTGCTGGGCCCCTCTAGAATGTGGCCCCACCACTCGTCTAAAGATGTAGGGTGCTAACACAGGTTATATGTGCATCCTGAAGAACAATTCTGAGGAGTGAGCATGTGAGGTGCCAAATGGGAGTTGTAGTGGATAACATCTTGTTGTCCATAACATCTGGGGTAATAAGCAAAGGTGGAAGTCCTCACAGGGCAAGAAAAGCCATCCTTTACCTCAGGCTTGGGCAATCTCCAGAGATCCAGGGACTGCAGATGCCCATTCTTGGACCTTGGAGGGCTGCACCTGCTCTCATGGCCCTCTCCTCCAACACTTTTTCAGAAAAAAAGTCGCTTGAATGGAAGACCTAGAAGTAGTGTAGCATTCTTGGACCTTGGAGGGCTGCACCTGCAGAAAAAAAGTCACTTGAATGGAAGACCTAGAAGTAGTGTATGGCATTAAAACATGGCAAAATTCCCTTCACACATGCTATGAAGGACATTTTTGAAAAATGTTGTGGGGGGGCTGCATAGTATAAATGTTGTGGGGCACCTTGAGCCTCAGAGGGCCACAATTGTCCCACAAAGCACATGAGACCGGACATTTTTGAAAAATGTTGTGGGGGGGCACTGCATGGTATAAATGTTGTGGGGCACCTTTGAGCCTCAGAGGGCCACAGTTGTCCCACAAAGCACATGAGGCTCACACCTGCTTTACATGGCTCTTTCTCAAAGCAGTGGTTGGTAAGTCCAAAGTTCTGCTCTAGATAGGCCATGTCCTTGGTTATCACTCTGGGGTGGTCAGTCTCAATAGCTTTCCTTGGGCTCCAGCTAGTCTTCAACTCTTCACAACATTTTGCAATCCCATATGAACAGAAGTATTACATAGCTCTTCTCCTAATTTGTAAACAAAAAAAAAATCAAAGTCAGACTGGAACAAAGCCCTCTCAGCAAACAGTCATCCAACACAACTTTTATTACACAACCAAAGAGAAATTGACATCCTTAATTTACTCTGCTCTGTTTCCAGTATACCGCCGGAAACACCAAGAACTACAAGCTATGCAGATGGAATTACAAAGCCCCGAGTATAAACTGAGCAAACTGAGGACCTCCACCATAATGACTGACTACAACCCCAATTACTGCTTTGCAGGGAAAACCACTTCCATTAGTGACCTCAAAGAGGTGCCCCGGAAAAATATCTCTTTGATAAGGTAAGCCAGCTTGTCTGACTTCTTGATGCTTGGATTTGTTCTGCTTGAGCAAATTGATACTAACATTCTCCATTTGCACTCACCTATCTCACACACTACTCTTCATTTGTGATCACAAGCCCACAAAATCACTGCTACAGTGATGGTCAACCTCTTTCCTTACAGTTTAAATCTACTAAAGAAAAAAAATGATAGATGGATCTCCCCCTGCCTCTAGTTTCCCAGCCTTATAGGTAAGGGGGGGTGTTTGGGGGGAATCACCATCTGCTTTGTATGAATGATCCAGAAAATCCACAGTGATAAAACTCAGTAAATTCCTCAGGAATTGGGCATATTTTATCCAGGGATCTAGACAGCACTGCCATCTGCTTCTGTGACCTTTAGAAGGCTCATTCAATGCCTACCATTGGATTCCTGACAGCAGGAGTGGCATCATCAGCAGGTGCATCTGTTTTGCCTGGATGTCAACCAGAAAATCCACAGATAGGAAAGCCAGAGTGTGGCCTCCACTCATATTAGGAAAATGGGGTCTCAAGGCAAGCATTGCCAAAGCATGGTTTGAGAAGTTCATTGTAAATGGCCTGTGTATTTATATTTAAAGCTGTCTTCAAAGAACATGTGGAGAATGTATATTTCCCTCCTAACTTGTGTTGGATCTAATATTCAGTGTGTTTTCCTACTATGTTGTACACCGTGGATCAACATTGTTACGTGATATGCTGGCAAACAGAACTGATTTACAGCAACCCTGATAGGGCTTTCAAAGGAAATGAGATATTTAAGGAGTGGTTCTCCCAGTTCTACACATGGCTGGGGGTGGGTGGGATTCAAAGTCAGGTCTCCTGAGTTCTAGTGTATCACTTTGTCCACTACATCACACTGGGTATCCCACTGTGAATTAAAGTTATTGGGATCTAAGAAACCCCAGATCTGTCCATACACTTTCAAAACAACTGAGTTGTTTGAGGATCTTTTGGACTCCAACAACGCTGATGCACAGGCAGCAAGATGCAAAGTGCAGTCAGCTCCTACACACAGCTAAATCATAGTGATTTACAGCTAGAGAAACAACCACAGACAGTAGCTGATCATGTTCCAAGAGAAAGAAGAAAATCTTGTTTGTTTGTTTGTTTGTTTTAACGATGATTTAATTGGAGGGCTAAATGAATGTGATAGAAAGTTAGTTTTCCATGCCAACTCCCTCCAAGCAGAAAGGCAAAAATGAGAGATTAACTATACGGAGTAGCCTTATTTTGGTTCAAAAAAGTAGCCTATCTATTCTTCAGCTAGCAATTGAGATTCTTAGGTAATGATATCAGTTATTCAGCTCTGGAAAAGCCAAAGTTTGATTGTGCTTATTGTTTTTTTCCACCTGGCTCATCAGCATGTAGACCAAACAAGAAACATCAGAGGAAACAGCATCTATAACCTGCAAGCCACTCATACCTTTACTAATGTATTCAGTTCTAGAGTGTCTTCTGCTTGTTCCTTTTGCCATGAAGGAGTCACCAAATTTTAACCAACCGGGTGTCTGTTGGATGTCTTGGACTTTAGCTTTCATGAAACTTCATCATTGGCTGTAAAAGGCATTGTCTACAAGGCTGGATTGGAGTTGGCTGGAGCAGGACAAATAGGGTCACTAAGAGGTTCAGCATACCTTTTGGTGCTATCCTTGCATCCTAATAGCATATGGGCCTCAGATGACCCTGTTTGGTCTGTTTTTACAGTGTTAGGTATTTGTATTATGAGTGATCTTTAAGAATAATGCACTTGCTCACTATTAGGTAATACACTTCTCTTAAAAGTCCAGTTGAGATCTTCCACATACCCAATACACACAATGCTTTTTTTGTTTGTTTCTTTTGTTTTGTTTGTTTAAAATATTTTAATCCCACTTTTCTCCTTAGAAAAAGACTGAAGGTGGCTCACATCATGGAAAGACAATATTTAAGAACAATGAGTATACTAAGGTGGCATATATCATTAAAAGGCAACATTTAAAGTAAAAACACTAAATATAGAAATATTAAAAAGGAGCAAACTAATCCCACTCTGAGAAATGGAACTCTTGTCTCAAAGGGCCGGTCAAGAAACCGGTGGATTTGGCTGCAGGCCAACACTTTAAGAGAAAAGAAAGAAACTTTAAAAAGATATTTATAACTGATGCACCACATTTTCGCTGCTCCCATAGAGGCTAAAAATGTTTTTCACTTCCCCTGTTCCTCCATCAAGGACAAGAGGAAGTGTTCAGTTATTAAGCCACTTCATGATATTGCCAAATCAATAACGGAAGGCTTTTAGTTTGTTCACAGTGAATACATACCCTGGAAACAGACCGAAAGAGAGTGATCTCAATCGCACCAGAAAAGGAGAAGCCCCTGACAGGCACAGGTAGGACCACTCTGGGGATGAACTGGTTTGTTCTAGCAAAGAAATTGTGTGATCGCCATCTTTAGGAGCAAGCCGGCCTATCCCCGCAGTGGACCAAACGGTGAGCTAAATGCCTGTGTAGTCAGCCTCTTGGCTGGGTCAGATGGGAACTTCAGTCCAAAACAGCAGAAGGCTAACAGATGGTTTATAGTGTGCCAGAGAACTCAGTGAAGGGACCTAAAGAGAAGCTGATTTTCAGAAAAAGTAGCCATGTTAGTCTGTACCTGCATGTCCAGACAAAATAAATAAATAAAAAAGAACACAAAAACATTGTGGCAATTTAAGACAGTTATATTTCACTGTGAGCTTTCATAGATACACACCCATCTTCAGACAAGGAGAAACTGCTTGGTGTGGTGTCTCAACCACCCACCTCACACCTTTTGTAAAAAATGAGGAGCGACTTTTTGCTGATAAGAATGACTTTCTGAGCAGACATTCTTACCAAGAGTAATTGGGAAAACAGCCATCCTGGCAAGGGCATTTTAAACTGTGTGCTGAGGATGCTTGATCACTGGAGAGCAGAACATGCTGTGTGATCCTTGTAAAGGAAAGCAAGAAAACAGCTAGAAGCCTCTGATAAATGCATTTGAAAAGTATGACACAGAGGTTGCTCCTAATGTAGTGTTTCTGTACAGCAGGAACATTCAAAGAGGCAACGTTGAAGTTTCACAGTGTTTTGTGTTCTTCTCTTTGAGCAGAATATGTCAATAGGCATGGGGCTTTGGGATTAAACCGAATGGGGAGGTGGGGGGGATCAAAACAGACTTTTTTTTTTCTCCTCCTTTCCTGGATTATTTTTGCCACCTGCTACTGTGCGCTGCTGGTGGACACAAGAATGAAAAGACAATGAATGGTAGGGAAGAAAGAAACCGTCACATGTTCTGGTCACTTTGGTTGGGAGCTTTGATTTTATTTGTCTTTGCAGGAGCGCCCCCATATCTGCATTGGTTCTAAGGCCAACCGCCCCTCCGCAGATGCTGAAAAATATGGATTATAGTGAATGCTCTTTTAATAAGAAATTAGATAGATAGCAGGGTTTCTGCCTGCTTCTAGTGGCCACTTCTGGTAATTTCATCTTTAGAAATATATTTTTCTGGGATTTTTCTTTTAATTTTTTTTTCATATTTTCAGACCGTGGATAAGTATACTGTATTTGCTTCCTTGGTTTTATTGATTTTACAGAGAGGGGCAGTGTGTGATTCCCCCCCCCCCATTTTCTCTTCTCTCTGTGTGTAGGAGGGGTATTTTCCCTGTTGGATTTTTTTAAATTATGTCATGTTTTAATTTACTATGGATTACTGACATTGCCTCAGCCTTTTGGAGATAGTTTTTAATTGTTCTTTTGGGCTTTTGGATGAATGCCAGACAGAACACAGCTGGTAGAACTCAAAGCAAAAGAACTTGAAAGAGTCAGTCCATTTCAGGCTTAACAAAATGATCTTTACCCAAGAGACCTGAAAATTAGCAAATAAACCCTACTGTTTGGTAAACTGAGGCAGCTACCTTGGGCAGCAGATTTTGAATAAAAGGAGTTCCTTTTCAAATGCTTGATAAAAAGTTTCTAGAAATTTTCTTGCTTTTCTTACAAGGTTCTTACTTGTTTACTTAGCCATTTTTGTATGTTATTTATTTGTTGTTGTTTAGTCGTTAAGTTGTGTCCGACTCTTTGTGACCTTTGATGTTATTTATTTACATAGCTATTATTGTATGGGCAGAAGTCCTTATAGAACTTGGCTGTTTCACATAATAAAAATAACTTTTTTTCAGAAATTTTCTCTGAATGAGATTGGTGACAGATTCTGGACCTCTTTTTTGTTTAAAAATCCACAGAAGTAGATGTTTTTGAAACAGAATATTGTATTTTGCACCCAAAAGGCTATATTTTGTACAAAATGCACATTTTATACAGAATACAAGCATGTTGACAAAAATGCAGTAAATGTTGTGCAAAATACAATATTGTTTGCTAATGGTGCTACTAGTGTGTTCATCAGCACTTCTGGTGAAAAGAGGCACTGGTCTTTTCACTGTCACACAGGAGCAAAAACAAAAATCTCACTACAGTTGCCTGCTCTTTTGAAGATACGCTTTTTTATCAAGGTGGAGAAAAAATAGTTACATCCTTAAGTACTTAGGTTATGTCCCTAAGCAAAACATCTTTGGACAGTGTTGCCTCTTCATTGAGGTCCTGCCTCCTCCTCTTCTCTTCCTCTTCCTCCTTCAAACTCCACCTCCCTACAACTGTTGGTTTTGCTTCATACTCCATAAACATTGCTACAGTATCGAATGGAGTACCACAGACCTTGTGGGAATAACAAAACAAAGAGATAGACAGGTCAGAATCCAGAGCATCTATGAGAAGTGGGCCCTATTCGTCTAAGATGTTTTATGACTTGGATTCAGAAAAGATACATGGTGAAAGATACATGACTGTTTCTCCCCACGCCCTCCCTCCCCATCCCTTGATATATATAAGGGAGACTCTGATGTTGACTGTAGGTGATGTCTGCAGAAAGTCTACCATCTTCCCAATCTAAATTGGTCCTAACAGTTCCGAGCAGCGCTGCTGAAGTGGGAATGTGGGTACTTGTAGGTATGAAATTGCCTTTCATCATTCAGTAAACAGTCAACAGCTCTCCAGACTCTTACGCTGGATCTTTGTCAGTGACATGAGCAGAGATCCTTTCTGGAGATGCCAAGGGTTATACCAGGGCTCATCAGCATGTGCTCAATCACTAAGCTGCAACTTTCCACCAAGTACAGCTCACAGCAACTTTGCAAGGTGCAAATGGTTCCGGGAAAAGGAACATTAAGAAAGCATTAACAGATTTATGCAATGTTGCTGCTTTAACTACAATTGGGGCTGGGGAAGGAATTGCCTACCATCCATACCATGTCTGTTTGTCCTCTTTTTCTTTATTCTACCATAGCACTTTGCTAGAAGAGAGAGGTGCTCTTGGAGGAACACAATTGCAAAAGATGACAAGGGGGTGTTATCATTGCCACTATCACTCCTGCAAGAATTACTGGGCACATGAAGCTGGTAGGCTTGTATGCGGATCTATAAAGCCAGGGCTTCTGATGGTTTCCTCAGCCACAGGTGGTCTTGGACTACTTATCCCATCCAGAACACTACTGGAACTATCTTGTCTCTATAGCTTTTTAACCAGCACTTGCAAAAGGAACAGGGAGAAGAATCAAAACGTTGCAGTAAAATGTGTAAACAGAAGAATCTTCTAGACAGAGCATTTCCATTGCTCTGCCCTCTCTTGAATTTGCACACACGGGAAAAAGTATGGGATTTAGCAGAATTCACATCCAAACTTTTGTGTACCATTAATAATCATCAACATGGACTGTCAAGTCTGTTCTGACTTATGTCAAGACCTTCCAGAGTTTTCTAGGGAGAGAGTAGTCAGAAGTGGTTTACCATTCCCTTCCTCTGGAGGCGCCCTGGGAGTGTGCAGCTTGCCCAGGGTCTCACAGGCTGGCTCTACTTGCAGAGGCACAGTGGCGAATCAAAATCCCAATCTCTGGCTCTGCAGCCAGGTACCTAAGCCATTGAGCTACCCAGCCATCCTATGCACCATTAAACTGCTTCAATACAAAATAGCTACTGACATGGCCCCCTTTCTGTCACCTTCTTTTCCCACAAAACAGGGGGGTGGAAAGTCTGTGCATCTTATGGAGCGAAGAAAACAGATTATATTTTCCTGTTTTCTTCTCCTAAAAAATTGGTGCGTCTTATGGAAAGGTGCGTCTTATGGAGCGAAAAATACGGTAGCTACCGACATGGCCCCCTTTCTGCCACCTTCTCCTGCTGGAGCAACTGGCTTCCAGCAAAAGTAAGAGAAATGGTGCAGTGGGAGTAGCTATGTCTTGACTGAGAGAAGAGCCACGTTAGCAGAAAAGGAAGGAAGGGAAGGGAAAGAAAATAAGGAAGCAGGGACAATGGTGTGCTATTCCTGCCCCACTCACTATCCACCCTCCCCAGCTGGCCAGGAGGACATCTTAGAAGTCCCATCTGGGTGTGTTCATGAGGAGGTGCTTCCCCAATTCTCCTCCCTCCACTTTGTTTTTGCTGGGGAGCAGCAGCACAGCAACCTGTCCTACGGCAACACATATCTAAGGAGTGCCATACCTCTCCACCTGCTGGTATAGGAATAAAAAGATACAGGGACTCATGGAAAAGCAAGAGAAGATGAATGCCTTCTAAATGTTGATCTCTATTCAGAGAACTCAAATTGGCACCAGTGCCCCATCTGGAAGCAACAACAATTTGCATTCAGAAAGGAAGCCATGTTCCATCCACAGTACATAGCATTACAGTTGAAAGAGGATCCCGTTCAGTGCATGGATAGCAAACTTTTAAACCACAACTATAGAAAAGCCTCGAGAAGCAAGCATCCTGACAACTTGATGATGCTTCCGATGTGTATTGATTTATTTATTTTTTAAAATCTAATTACAAAACTCAGCTGGATAAGCTTTGCAAACTCCCCCCCCCCTTTTTTTTTTCTGGTTAAACAATCCATCCATCACATTCTTGTCAAAAGCCTGGGTCTTTGAGATACAAAAAAAATCCATCTCTTATTTATTTTTATGTTTGTTTCTAGAACAATTGACCGTAGTTTGTTTGTTTTTTTAAGATGAAATTTGTTTTATCGATGTGGTATTTTCCTTTAGTTGCTTTTCTGAGGAGGGGGCAGTCCGCATTGTTCTGTGGTTTGTGTTTATTGCTTGATTCCCTGCTGCTTCTGGCAGCTTCAAAGCTTGCTTTCACTGTGTTCCACTCCACACAAATATAACCAAGCAACTCCCTGCACATGTGAATGGTTGGGACAGTATCTCCTTTTCCTCTCTCTTTACTCCACCCATTCCCACATAAAGCATGCCTAAAAGAGTTTCAGAGCTGTCAACTCAGCAAGCCCTTTATTTGCAGTGTTGTGCTCCGGGACCCACAAATTCCTTGTGGGATTTGGTTGTTGCTACAGCAGCATGCACAGTATTTCTCCATTTTTATTAATCATAGCCCAGAATGAGCCGTGACATAAAACTTGTGTAATGAGCACACAGGAGAAAATCTATCTTAACTGCCTGCATGATTTATTTATTGTCTCATTTTCTGTATTCTTTTGAATAATTAATTCTGAAGCTCACTTTATAAAAATTGTTCAACTTCTACTATAATAATGCTTAGCCTTGGCACACAGTTAGCCTGCCATGGGTTTTCTGTGCATTAGAACATTTTGTTATTGCCATTTTCCAAATCCAACACACCAGGATCATAGACGGGAAATCTGTAGCAATGATAGGCACAGAAACAGCTGTGGTCACCCTGATGGATGGCTTTTATCAGAAAATGAAGGGGGGGAGTGTCGTCCCTTGGAGAATCAAAGTCACTGACATGTGAGTGACACCCACCTCTATTATTCCTTTTCATCTAATTCAAGTGAAGGAGCGAAAATAATGGGCAGAATCCTGTTTGATCATCCTGCTTGCACTACAGGCCACTGTGCAAGTGGAATACGTTTTATGGTAAATTTTGCAAGGAAGTACCCAGTGTGTCCTTAATGCAAGCAGAAGCGCCATTCTCATGACTGGATGTCCACCATTCATAATTTCCTTCTCCACAACAGAGATCAAGCAGAGATTCAGCAGAGCTGTCACCAGGAGTGGTAGTCATGTTGTGTTATATGAGTGGCCAGCAGAATGCTGCCCAATGAAACAGTGCTTCACTTTGATAATGGTGTAAATGAAACTGAAACCTGGTTCAGAGAAGATAGAGAGTCAACTCGTGAATGAATTGAGAGTCAACTCGTGAATGAATTGCCTGACCAGGCCAGTGGAGTTCAGCACTACTGCATAGGATTACTCTAAAAAAGTAACTTCACAATCCCATGCTGTTCATATAGATCCACCTCTCTCACTGAAAGAATACATAGACCTCACTCCATGTTGTGTTAGGTGGATAATGCTATATGTATACAGTACATTTCAACCTTCTCTTTTCTGCTCTGTCCAGGGGTCTAGGCCATGGAGCTTTTGGGGAAGTATATGAAGGTCAGGTGGTTGGGATTCCCAGTGATCCAAGTCCCTTACAAGTGGCTGTAAAGGTAAGTGGAAAAATCAGTGCATAGTATCAGTGGAAATGCTTAGAGCCCCTGTTTTGTCAAAGGAAAGCCAAATGGCTGAATTTGTTCCCTTTCAGTTTTTATGGGAGAAAAGTGTATATATTCTTGATACTGCCATTTGACACAACAGAGGAGTCACTATTGCTCTAGTTCAGCAATGTGATGCATTTTAATTCACTGACAGAGGCTCCAGTTAGTTGGAGGCTCTCTCATCCCTTATCTATGGATGGGTATTTCAGACACCATCTAGACCAGGGGTGTCGAACCTTTCACCTTCCCTGGGCCACATTAGAAGATGAAAATTTGGTTTGGGCCACACATAAATTTGGTTTGGGCTGCATGGGGGGGGGGCAGCCCTAGCTGTCCTCCGCAGCCTCGCTCCAAGCGCGCTTACTGGCAGCTGCGATCTCAGACAGCAGAGGCTGCCAGCTTCGACTCCGGTGGCTTTATGGGGCCAGGAGGGGGTCCACCTATTGACAGGGACAGCGCAATGCAGTCACACAGCCCCCCTTCTCCCCTCCCCTCCCACTCCTTCCTTCCTTCCCTCTCTCTCCCTCTCCAGCTGCATTCCGGGCGCAAGTGCCGGCAGTGTAAATTGAAAATTTGGAATTTCTTTAAAAATAAAAAAATTGCACTGGGCCGCATTATGAGCCAACCTGGGCCGCATGCGGCCCTTGGGCCACAGGTTGGACAAGCCTGATCTAGACCCTTTTTCTTACACAGCACCATTATTTATTACAGCCAAATCCACTAACTGAAATAAAAAACTCAGATGCTTCCTTTCATGGAGACAGGGTGAAATGGAATTAATTTCTGTATGATCCTATGCCAATTTGATCTCTTAAATACAGAGTTCTTCTATTTAAATTCAGCCTCTCCCAACTGTAGACATTGGATACAAAATCTCTTCATCTCCAACCAACATTGTCCTTGGTCAGGAGCTACAGACTGCCACCATCTGAGGAATCAAGGTTAGGAAAAGTTGGTCTGTGAGAAACATGGTGGCCAGCTGGATAGTTCAGTGAGTTAGGTATCTGGCTGTAGAGCCAGAAATCCAAAGTTCGATTCCTCACTGTGCCTCCTGAAAGAAGAACCAGTCTGTGTAGACTTAGGCAAGCTGCACAGTTCCAGAGTAGCATTCTCTATCTGGAAAACCCTGAAAGGATTGCCATAAGTTAGAATTGACTTGACAGCACATTATTATTTTTAAGAAATGTGGCAACTCTAAACTGGTCTAAGGTTTCATTGTAAGAAAAATAAAGTCTGTAGCTGGTCTATAAAGATGCATAAGAAAGATGTTTTGTTCATGTTTCTCCTGTTGCTTCTTTCTCATTTAGACCCTGCCTGAAGTTTGCTCAGAACAAGATGAGCTGGATTTCCTCATGGAAGCTCTGATTATCAGGTGTGTTAGTTCAAGACTTTCCACATCAAGCACACATTTGAACAGAATTAAAAGCAGTGGGTATCATATTATTTTTACTTCTCTTATGCCTAATATTAATAATATTTAATAGTAAGCATTAATAATATATTGATTCTCTAGAAGGGCTGAAATACGTTAAGTAACTCAAAAACACTCTTTCTGCAATCCTTATAATCCATCCATCCATAGGCATCCTTCAGTCTCGAAAGGCTATGGTAACATGCTCTGAATTGAGGAGTGTCCCCTCCAGAGCATGAAGCCTGGGTAAAGTAATATGGAGGATAGGCTGTTACCCAAGGAGCAGATCCCCCCTCTCCACGTTGCTGAAATGGTCCAATGGAAAGGCAAGAGCCAATACGACTGGTTCCGGCAACGTCGCAGGAGTTGGCAGAACGACAAGAACTGCCTTCGGGACTCCTTACAATAGGCATGTAGAATAGACTATTTTTACTATTTCCAAATTATAGAAGGGCTTTAATGTTGAGCAAAAAGGGTATAATGAAGAAGTGTAATGAGTGAGTTTGCAGTTTCCTCAATTTTTTGTCAAGTTTTTTTAGCCACAGTACAGCACCAGCTCTCATGTACTTATAAAGAACAAGGCTTTCCCAAAGAGGATGTTGACTTTCAGCAAGAACAATAACCTTGTAGCGGTCACTGAAACATAGTAAGTCCATTGTGACCTTCCTGTATGTGAGGGTTCAGTTTTTGGCTCCATGTTCAGCTCAGAGAAATCAGTAGATTTTTGTTTCTTCAAAGCAGGTGAAAGATTTATTGGTGCATTTAACAATAAACAAGTGTCCATAACATGATCTTGAGGCTTTTCTCCTTCTGACAACGGGTCTCAAAGGGGTTTCCAATCTTTGAACAGGAACGGATTTCCACAAGTAGTGTTCCATGGTCCCGCCAAATCTGAAGGGACCCAGTCTCGTATGGTCTGCCCCGTCGAACCTTCCAACAGGGGCACGGTCTCAACATCCTGGTCATCATTCCACAGGGTTCATCTCTCAGGGTCTTGATTCTCCCAGGGTCCCCCTGTAACTCTTCCTCATTATGTCCCTTATTCTCCATTCTAGTCTTTCCTTTCTCTCTCAACTCTCTCTTTCTCCTCTCTCAGTCTCCTCCTCCACTCCCTTGTCTCTGCTTCTCCCCAGTAAGAGGGTCTGGGTGGAATCTCTCTTCTCCTTCTATAATCAGCCTCCTCCTTAGGCACTCTTAGCCTCTCCCACGATCCTGTCCAGGGATCCTCCATCCACACCCAGCCTGGTGGCAACTGTGCTTCCTTCTTTTTTTATCTCTCTTGTTCCTGCCTCAAACTCCACCCTCTTTTTCCTCTCCTTTCCCGCCTTTTCCTCCTGAACCTCCTCCATCACGTTCTTTATCTCTTCACTCAGTTCCTCTATTTCTGTCCCTTGCTGAGCTCTCCCCGCAGGTTCTGGTGCTGGCTGGGGTCGTGCTTCCTTATCCTCATTGTGGAGGAGGGATGGCTCTCCAGCAAGTGGGGTATCCCTCTTGCCTTCTGTCTCACATGTACAATTGCTCAAAAATCCAGAGAAGCCCAAAAAGCAGTGTGAGGAGTGTGGAAATAACACTGGGCTTATTGTATGGCTAAAACTATCCTCCATATATAGATATAGCAATCACTAGAGCAGTTCAGAGTTCTTCTAATGTTTTCATTTTATAGTACTGGATGCTGTCATTTTTCCCATGTGAAAAAATCATTGGCCATTTTTTCTCTCTAGTCCTGTGGTATTATTCTACAACTGGACCCCAAAACATGTGATGAGCCTTCCAGATGTTGTCATATGACAACTCCCAGCATACCTCACCAGTGGCTATGTAGCTAGAGCTGATGGGAATTGGGGTCCAATAACATCTAGAGAACTGCCCTTTCCTTGGCTTCACCTTAGAAGCTGTTACCTGTTGACTCATAGATGACACCAGCAGTCCTAACCAATAGAACCAGATCTCTCAGGCAAGTCTCTGCATTCTGAATTAAATGATGTCATTTAATCTCTCTTTCAGCAAGTTCAACCATCAGAATATTGTGCGCTGCATTGGGGTGAGCTTGCAGGCTCTGCCACGCTTCATTCTGCTGGAGCTCATGGCTGGAGGAGACTTGAAATCTTTTCTGAGGGAGACACGGCCCAGGCCAGTAAGTGGGAAATGATTGCTTCATGCTAGCATTTAAATCGTATAACCTGTATCCAAGCTAATGACAATAGCTAGTGCAGTCTCACTGCTTCCAAAAATCAGTTGCACAAGAGATCTTGTGATGGCACTGTGACACATTATACACAGACCAACATCTGGAATTGCATTGGATGAAGGAAAATATTACTTTCTCACCCCTATTCTAGTCCCCATCCAGGAGGGGAAGCCATTTATACTTTGTACTTATGCAACTTCCAAATAAAGTGCTTTGGGAGGCTGCTGTGCATTGTTATTTATTTTGCCATTTTGAAAAACAACAACTAATTGAAATTACTTTGGAGATCATTGTTGTCAATTGGAGCTAATCCTAAACCTTTCAGATACAGACATGTCAACAGTGACAACTACAGTGGGGTCTCTACTTAAGAACTTAATCCGTATTGGAAGGTGGTTCTCAAGTTGAAAAGTTCTTATGTTGAATCTGCATTTCCTATAGGAATGCATTGAAAACCATTTAATCCATATCTGCTCTTTTCCGTCCATAGAAACTACAGTGGAACCTCTACTTAAGAACTTAATCCGTTTTGGAATGGTGTTCTTAAGTTGAAACGTTCTTAAATTGAAGCAAAATTTCCCATAGGAATGGACTGAAAACCAATTAATCCGTTCTGGCTGTTTTTTTGTTATGTAGAGGTGCGTTCGTACATTGAAGCAGTAGTTCCCATAGGAACTAATGCAAAGCTGGTTAATACGTACTCTACCACTAGGGGGAGAATTTTTTTTAACCTAAGATGACCTAAGGTTAAAAAAAGAGCAGGGAAGGTTTTTTTTTCCTGTTCTTATCTTGGTTTTCTGTTCTCAAGTAGAAGCAAAATTTAGCAAATGGAGCTGTTCTTAAGTTGGATTGTTCTTAAGTAGGGACGTTCTTAAGTAGAGACCCCACTGTGGTGACAGAATATAGCATTTGTCTTCCAGAGCAGCTAACAGTGGCAACTAGTGATAGAATGCTGCCACTATTTTTGAATATCATCTACAACCATGTGAGTCAAACAACAGCTGTTCCTACTAAATGTTTAGCGCAAATTGATACAAATGGGATTGTGAGTCCATAGCAGTTAAACTTCAGGCTTAAGGCCATCTTCCACCCGGAAACCTGTTTTACTGTATGCTATGAACCACCCAGAGAGTGATAACATTAATGGGGTAATATAACAGTGAAAAAATATGGATGGATGGATGGATGGACGGACGGACGGACGTACGTACGTACGTACATACATACATACATACATACATACATACATACATACATAAGCAATCACAGGGATAAAAACATGCCCTGAAAAAGCAAAAACATGACACGATCATTAGGAAACTAATTTAGATATCCAAATAGGACAACTTTAATGTAAGATAGAGAGAAGCGGCTGCTTCAAACAGTAGATTTAGATGTATTATGCAAAGGCAGCAAGTGGTTACTTATTAAATCTATTACGGTTATATTTTTACTGCCAAGAAGACTGACAGATGCTTGTGAGGTTTTCTTCCTCAGGCCAAATAATGTGACTGGGCCAGGATGCTACGTGAATTAATTTTGTGGTGTGGGCTGGGGGGGGGACACCATTTGTTCCTCTGTTACAGAGAGTAAAAAGTCTTGAGTCAGCCCTGCCTTCAAGTAGCCAACACAGATCCCTGTGGAATACATACACAGGGGGCAAACCTATGCAGACCTTTGACTGTGTGAATTCTTACTTTCATTAAGAATCTGAGTTAATACATTTTTATCACCAACCTCTACAGCAACCTAGACTGAACAGGATTTCCTTCAGCTCTGATATGTCCCTTTTGCTTTAATCCATAAAACTCTCTATGGGGAGATCATGATCTTGTCAAGAAGGCCCTGCTACTGGTAGAGGCAGAGAGCAAAGGCTGTCAAGATCCTTGGAACTGAAATGTGCACAAAGTCTCAACACAGCAAAACTCGGAAGGAGTTAAAAGATTTCTCTGCTCAAGGGGTTTGCAGTAGAAAAGCAATCAGGAGAGGTTTTGGAAAGATAAGCAGTAATTTCCCTCCTTTGTGTCCCGAAGCTTGTGGCTCAAAGCAGTGATTATACTGAACAATGGAGTCAGTTTGTTTTGCGGTCACCTTTCGGAAGGTTTGACCTAACAAGGGGATGTGTTGCTTGAACGCTTCCAGCTTGTCCCTCCTTTCAGGCAGCAACCACATAATTTCCAGCTGGAGGTATCATTCCTTCATCCAGGGAACAAGAGCAGCAACAAGGTGCTGTAAAGTGAATTTCCTCAGTATTTCAAGGCTACACCAGCGCTCTGCATCCCCGTACAAAATGGGTGCAAACGCTTCATGTCTCAAGCAAATTACCCTGTTAAATTGTCCTTGGCAGAGAAACAGCTTCTGCTTTAACAGAGAGGGAATAAAAGGCACAACAGACCATTTCTCCCCACCCCTAAGCTAAGAAAAAAGTTGTGCATGAGACTTAGTAACCAAGGCCTACTTTATAATACTGCAGTGCTGAATGCAGATTTTCTTTCCCAAGTTTGCAGAGCAATTCATAGATAAGAATCATAAAGATTAAGGAAACTATGTGCTGCTCTTTCCAATTTTACCTTCTTAAGGGGGAAAGTAAGAGGGAAAAGTAGAGAAGCAGGAGACAGAGGCCATGGTAGAGATATTGGATCATGTTTATTCAAATACCTACTTTTTTCAAGGATAAAGAATTCAGTACAACTGGAGATGCTTTCAGCTACAGAGTTGTCCTCTCAGTCATCCTATTCAGCCTAATGCTTTCTGCCTCCTTTCTGTGCGGTGTCCATGCAAGGTGTCTCTGGTGAAGCAGAGACACCTTGAATGTCCGCTCTGGATTTGGTTCTTGGCAGTTCTTGTTACCTGGCTCACACTAAGGATGTAAACCACTCGCTGCTGGGAGAAAGACAGCCTAGAAGTGTAATAAATAAAATCAATTTTAAAAATAAATAAGGATGTGAGGAATTCCCACTTTTTCAACAAGATATCTGTCAGGAAATCACTGGCCTCCATAAGATTTCTCACCTCCAGCCCAGCATAAGACAAGGAGACCCTTTTCTGTTAAAGTTTCCACTAGGGAGATGTTACTACATGCATGTAGAAGGATATACAAATACTGTATGATCTGATTTGTATCCAAATACAGGTATTTTCCTTATAATATTTGCCATTCTTTAAGTCATCCATTGGTTCTGTTGTCCTTGAAAGTAAAAAAAAAAATCTGTGATTTTGCAAAAGATTTCCAATTGTTTTGGTTATCTTCAACCCTTTGATAGATTATAGAGTTTTAGTATCTGATGATGAACAGTATCATAGGTGGTTGAGTGGTCAACAAAGGTCACCCTGTGATCTTCCTAGTTTCAAAGGCGTCCTCAACACCTTGTGTTAAATGTACAATTTCTGCTGTACAATTCTTCCCAGGTCTAAAGCCAGCTTGTTGTGGGATGCAGAGTGGTTCTACGACTTGCATTAGACAGTTAAGAATCATTCTTTACAGGACTTTAGAAAGATGACAAAGTAGGGAAATCAGCCTGAAGTTTTCTGTGTCTGTGGGTTCTTTACCAGGTTTCAAAATGGCAGTCACTTGTGCCTTTCTCCAAATTTTTGGAATCCTGAGAGACCAAGACAAATATTAAGGAAACTTAGGAGCCACTTCATTGTTACTGTGCCAAAATAGTTTATCTGTTCAGCACAGATGTCAACCAGGCCTTACCATTTTTGCTGCTAAAAGGTAAAGGTAAAGGTTCCCCTTGACAATTTTTGTCCAGTCGTGTTCGACTCTAGGGGGCGGTGCTCATTCCTGTTTCCAAGCCATAGAGCCAGCGTTTTTGTCCGAAGACAATCTTCCGTGGTCACATGGCCAGTGCGACTTAGACATGGAACGCTGTTTCCTTCCCACTGAGGTGGTCCCTATTTATCTACTTGCATTTGCATGCTTTCGAACTGCTAGGTTGGCAGGAGCTGGGGCAAGCGACGGGCGCTCACTCCGTCACGTGGATTCGATCTTAGGACTGCTGGTCTTCTGATCCTGCAGCACAGGCTTCTGCAGTTTAGCCCGCAGCGCCACCATAGCTTTTTCCAGTTCACTTAAACTGAATGGTCTTGTAAAGCCATTGGTCTGCAATCACTTATTCTTTCAGCTATTTTGATTTGCTGAAATGTTAAGCCACTTTAATAATTTCCAGTCCGTTTGATTATTTTTGATATGTTTATTTCTTCCATGAGTCCTATCTAATCCAAGCATCTTTTTTTCTCTTTTTTTCTTTTTCCTTTTTGAGATCAGAGAAATTCATTGCTGCCCAGCCAAAATGGTTTCTTCACTCAAGGGATTATGTTCACACAGTGAAAAATAATAATTAATTTGGGTGATTACATCCGCTGTTAGGCCTTGTCAGTTTTGCATGCTTAGAGTATGGACCATTGGAATGATCGGTTCACTGCCTCAGTGAACAGGCCCTAGACCTCTGGGACTGGGCAGATGTTTGATCCACTGCTGTACTGAATTTCTGCCAGTCAGCTTTTTGAAAACGATACCTTCTGCAGAATGTTACTATTCATGGTTGGACTGCTACCATGAGTTGGCACACTAGTGACTAGAGCTGAGTATTTGGGATTGGAGTATAGATTGAATTCATGCATTTTGGGCTATAGGCTCATGAGTAAATATCAAATCTGGGCTATAGACATGTTGCTGTTGTTGAAAGGTGGGAAAAGTTTGCTATTGTACATAAGCACTACTTGGGATGTTTCCATGTGTTTTAGAATCATAGAATCTTCTTCACTGTTATAATCAAGTGCATATTCCCAGACACTCCTGTGACAATTGAAGTTTCTGATTTTAAAATTAATTTTTTGCTAATGAAAATTATCTGAGGCTATAAAGAAAAAGGCTGCATTAGGTGGTTTATGAATGAAAATAATGTGTAACTCTCGGTCCACTGTTGTTATCTCTATATTAT